AGAATCGTTTGAAACCGAAAACTTTGCTATAACGAACGTCATAAATGAAATAACGCGAAAACAAATTGATTTATAAATTGGCTTATAAATACAGTCGAACTTCGATATAACGAAATTCGATAAAACGAATTTAAAATTCAAAAAAGTGCCCAAAATTTCTGTATAACTGTATATTCCTCAGCCAAATGCAAGCCAAATGGCCGCAGGGCGCAGAACATTTGAGGCACACTTTACGTTCGTTATAGCAAAAATTTGAGGCACACTTTACGTTCGTTATAGCAAAAATTTGAGGCACACTTTACGTTCGTTATAGCAAAGTTTTCGGTTTCAAACGATTCTTTAGATCGAAGTTCGACTGTAGCTCTAGTTTCTAAATGTTATTATCTAAATGTTACTATCTAAATGTTACTAAAGAGAGATAGCTCGAATTTCAAGTGTATGCGTGTGTTTTTTCGGTTTGCTTATGCATGGACATCGATCTATTCCCCTTTGCCCGTTTCTCTCCTCCTCCACTCCCCTCTGTCTCTCTTTCAACCCCACGCTTTTCAATAGGGAAAAAGAGGTGGTCGAAAAACGACAAAAAGCAATTTTCCATCTATTCTCTCTTTTCTTTTTTCGTTTTTCTTTATTTTTCCCTTTCCAAGGTTGCAACTTTGTCCAAATAACCCTCAAAATTGCTTATTTTCATCTATTCACAACACGATTTTTTCTAGTTTTCCATTTTCATTTTCAATTCACGTTTATTAGCTAAATTTAGTTTAGAGAATTTGTAAATAAATTGAAAAAGGTTTTTGAAATTCTTCTTTCTATAACTTTTATGGGAAAACTCAACAAAAAGGGAAACTTTTTTAATGGAATTCTTTCAGATTAAAGCTTCTTTTAAAAGTTACATTCATGGACAGTCTTTTAACGTTTAACGTTGCTTTTTAGAAGTTTGTTCTTTTCTTTTTGTTCTTTTTGTTCTTTGTATATCTTGATTCAAATTCGACCAATTTGCAAACGGTTGAAAGATTTAAAGAGCTTATTATCTCTAATTTTAATATTACAAGATGGATTCAATGATTTATAATATGTTATGAGCTTTTTAAAAAACAATTAACCAAAAATTTAGCCAAAAATTGAAGCAGTAATTGCGGCTCGCGGAGGACCTACTAAGTATTGATTTTCATAATGTTTTTCTCACATTTTAAAAGACTTTTTGTCCATCAATTTGTCCATGAATTTTTGGCTCAATTTTTGTTTTATTAAAAACTTTATGACACCTGATAAATTGTCAAAATTCATCTTTTTGTAATGTTAAAATTAGATAATAAGCTTTGGATAATAAGCTTTGGATAAGAAGCTTTGGATCATAAGCTTTGGATCATAGGCTTTGGATAGAGAAGCTTTGGATAAGAAGCTTTGGATGAGAAGCTTTGGATAAGAAGCTTTGGATCATATTATGAAGAAGCTTTGGATAAGAAGCTTTGGATAATAAGCTTTGGAACAGAAGCATTTTTGGATCATAGGCTTTGGATAGAGAAGCTTTGGATAAGAAGCTTTGGATGAGAAGCTTTGGATGAGAAGCTTTGGATAATAAGCTTTAGATAAGAAGCTTTTGTTTGTTCTTTGATAATAAGCAAAATAAGCAAATATAATAAGCAAAATATACAAAGAATTAACTCCTAAAAACAAAGTTTAAAAGACTTTTTGTCCATGACTCGTTTATCCAATTGGTTTATCCAAATTTTCTATCTATTCTGTAGCTTTTTGTGATCAAGATTGTACATTGTATAATATCAAAATTGTACAATATCAAAATTTCACTATGAATTATGATTTACTATAATCCAATGCTATAAAGGTTGATGCAGCTTATGCTTATGCAGCTTTATGCATTAAACGAATCATAATCTATTTTTATTGCATAACTAAACCATTTAAATCGATAAATTTCTGAAAATTCGGGTTTTGGTTTTGCAATGTGCTCGATTTTCCAGTCGCGGTTGTCGAATGTCGCCGGGTGTGTCGCGATGCTATGAATTACAGCCCGATCCATATGATTACACACAAAGGAGAGCGATCAGGTGAAGCAAAAGAAAAGGAAATATTTCAATGAAATCTTTATTTAGCTACTTTTGGAAAGAAATTGTATCAAATCAAATGTTGAATCAAAATTAAGTAAAACGGATTAAATTTTCAACGATTACGAAAGGTTTTTCAAGAATTTCAAGAGTTTTTCAAGAATTTCATGAAACGTTTTCAAGAATCTGCATCTAATTCTAATTTTAGATAACTTTAAAGTAATCTAAGCTTATCTAAGCTAGAAATCTCTTTAGAATTTGCCTCTTTGTCGATGTCGAGAACGCGAGTGAGTTGAGGGGAAAGCTGAGGACCGGTGAGATTGATGCGGCTCTTGTCAGAGCTGAACTGGTGAGTTAGTGACTTCAAAATGGCTTTACTGGCTTAGAAAAGAAACAAATCTATCAATTGAATTCATAAAAACAAAGAAAATATCTATCTGATAACTTTCAGATCATTGAACCATTTCTTTTCCTTGCCGCTGCCAATAAAGCTGTTTATCAATATGCCCATAATCGGATGTCGACGAGGAGTTTAGCTGCCGAATTGATATACAGTTTGTCGCCAAGCAGAAATGTGAGTACTGGATTTGAAATTTCCAATATTTATTCCAATTCAAAGCTCTCTCCAATAGAAAAGTCCAATTTAAACAAAATTTTTCATTTTTTGGATTTTTTAACTCTCATTATCAGATGGTTTCCTGAGGCCGGCTGCAGGTCTCAGTTTAGCCGAGTGGTTAGCACGCTTGGTTTCAAGCCGGCCTGTCCCAGGGTCGATCCCTGTCACGGCTCCAATTTTTCCTTTTACTTTCCCGTGTCTATCGAAATCGAATCACGAAAAAGCTGAGTACAGAAAAACGGCAAAATGCAAAGCGCAAAAAGACTTTTAAAGCCTTTAAATAATAGTTAAAGACTAAAAAAAGCTTAATGACGAAAAAACGGATCAAAATCCAACAAATTCAGAATTTTATTCTTCAGAATGAAATTATCTACACAAGTCTTTCAATAAGGTTTTATTTTTTCAGATCTCCGACTCATTGAACACTTTTGGTGTCGCTGAGAACAGTCGAACGATTCTCGCGGCCGTTTACGATGATGAGAAAGGGTCAAAGATGAAAGTGAGACGAAAACGATGTACTTTGTGCTCAAAAAAACACAAAGAAACACATACCTTCTAGAAAACTTTTCTGTCTACATTTTGTCTACATTTTGTCTACAAGATACATGCCAAGAATGCTGAATACCGTATTTTCTCTAATAGTAGTGCACCAAAAGCTTTGCCTAAATTCCTCGAAATCTCGAGAACCGTTTATCGGAACCTATCGATGTGAGGTCGGAAAATGTAGCTGACGATGAGATCTTGTGAGGGATTTGAGTGTTGAGCTTCTGGGAAAACTTTGGAAGCCGTAAATAGTCATCACCTCGGCTCGCTTGGGTGCACTACTATTAGAGAAAATACGGTATTCCGCTTACCAGGCGAACGCTTTACCAATGAGCTACGCGTATCCCATTGCTGCTAGTGAGTGGATAAAGGACAAATCAAGCCAGAACTAGACCAGGATTTTCTTTCAGACTTGACTTTGTCTTTAACTTGAAATCTATCGTTTCTTGAAATCTACGATTTTCTCTAATAGTAGTGCACCCTAAGCTTTGCCTAAATTCCTCGAAATCTCGAGAACCGCTTATCAGATCCTATCGATGTGGAGTCGGAAAATGTAGCTGACGATGAGATCTAGTGGGGGATTTGAGTGTTGAGCTTCTGGGAAAACTTTGGAAGCCGTAAATAGTCATCACCTCGGCTCGCTTGGGTGCACTACTATTAGAAAAAACCTTAAATAGATATTGTTATGATTATCTTCAACATAAACATTACAGAAGCTCGCCAAGCAGATCAAGGGTCGTGCTGTGCCGTTGGACTATTTGAAAGAGATCTCGAACTTCAAATTGATACGAAGGGTTTCTTTTTTATTGAATAATTTGATTAAATCCTTAATTAAATCCTTAACTAACTTTATAAAATTCAATATTTTCAGGCTTACAAGATTTATGATCCGTCAATCACCCTTGATAACATCGACGAGGAAATTTTAACACGAATGATCACAAAAGAATGTATTTCTTGATGACTATCATAAAGATAATAAAAATATAACTAAAAATAGAATATCTTGAAAGATTAGATCTCAAAGTTTCTTTTTCTTTTCATACAAAATCGGATCCAGTATTACCCCCTGTGATTTTTATTATTTCATGGATTACAAAGCTTTAAGGAGTTTTCTTTTCTTTCTTTCTTTCCTTCTTTCTTTCTTCCTTCTTTCTTTCTTTCTTTCTTTATTTCTTCCTTCCTTTCTTTCTTCCTTCCTTTCTTTTCTTTTCTTTTCTTTTACCTCACTTTATTCAATTTGAGATTATTTTCCCGTTAGCCTGTGCTCAGAGTTTTATTAAATAAATCTATAAACATTTTGATAACAAATCTACAAGATAACTACAAGATAGCAACAAGATAATTAAAGATAATTAAAGATAACTAAAGATAACTAAAGATAACTAAAGATAACTAAAGATAACTACAAGATAACTACAAGATAACTAAAGATAACTAAAGATAACTACAAGATAACTGTAAAGTATTCAGCCACTTGAATATTTTCTATTTATACTGTAAACAGCTGAAACTTCACAATGTTTTAAGCAATAGACACGGTTAAACTTTATGTACTTTGTGCTCTAGCAAATTAACTTTTGACACATAACAGTAGCTTTAAGCAAGATTATATATTGAAAAAAGTATCCAGCATGCTGATTTGAAAGACAGGTAAAAGTCTTGATCAAACTTTCATTCAAAACATTCATTGATCGCTAGTTAGTTGTAAATTATCCTCACTTTTATCTATATAAGTATAAAATTTGATAATAAACTTTATTTACAAAGTGAATTTATCGAATGAATTTCTGTAAAGCTTCAAAAGTTGATGCGTAGATACTCCATTGAACTCTCATCGAATAAACATTCCCGAAAGTGGCCTGCATCGCTGAGCTCTTTTGACGGGGAACGAGCAGCGTCCATCTGATGAAAAGATTCAATTAGAGAAATTAGAGATTTCCTTTCGTTTACTGAATACTGTAGCAGTTGAATACTGCGTACTGTAAAAGAATGATTGGGTCTTGTATAGTAAAGCTTCCTTCCTTCCTTCTCTTTCTTCCCATCCTTCCCTTCCCTTCCCTTCCTTCCATTCCTTCCATTCCTTCTCTTTCTTCCCATCCTTCCCATCCCTTCCCTTCCTTCCATTCCTTCTCTTTCTTCCCATCCTTCCCTTCCCTTCCTTCCATTCCTTCTCTTTCTTCCCATCCTTCCCTTCCCTTCTATTCCTTCCATTTCTTCCATTCCTTCCATTCCTTCCCTTCCTTCCCTTCTTTTCTTTCTTTCTTCTCTAACAAACAGTTACCAGATAGCTCAATGGTTAGAGCATCTGTAGAAAAGAAAAAAACCTCCCAAAGGCTCAATCCCCTCTCCGGAAATCTTACCATTCCTTACTTTATAAACTTCGAACTCACTTCGCTTCTTGTAGTATAGAAGCGACTGGCCAACAACAAATGATCAACGTGTAGAGATTGGAGAACACTGAAGATCTTGTTTATTGGAATACTTTTGAACTTTAAACTCACCCAAAATATCATTTATCCAAAAGTATTGCTTTCCAATCCAAGCAAGCTTTTCCTTGTCATAATTGTTCACAGTATGTACTCGATAGAACTTAAAAAACTCAGTGAAACTTATATAAAAAGCTTTAATTTCATTCGTTTTTATGAAAATTTCTATTCAACAATTAGAAAAACCTGTTGCCAATCCATAACCAAACTGGATAGGAATGTTAAAAGAGTGTAGATCATGAGATTGCGCTCGATTTTTGCTTGTTTCATCGAAACCTAAGAATTTTATGAATTCCCAATTTTTTTCCATTATTTTCACACTATATTACATTGTTTTTTTTTGTATTTATAAGTTAAAAATCCGTAAATCTTTTACAGTAGAAATATCACTGATTTTAGAGTAGACTAGGGTAACGGTACTTTAGTCTTAGTAAAGCTACTTACTCTAGTCCTACTTTAGTCTAAGCTGGCTTTCTGCTGGTTTAGAGTAGACTAGGGTAAAGGTACTTTAGTCTTAGCAAAGCTACTTACTCTAGTCCTACTTTAGTCTGAGCTGGCTTTCTGCTGGTTCTCTTGATCTAATCTTGGTCAATAAGAAACATTTCTGATCTGTTTTAATTCTTGCGACTTTTTTGAAACAGTCAGAATCAAAAAGCTAAATCTCAAACCTTTGTCCTTAAACAATAGAGTTGAGCAAGAGTAATCATTGAGAGAAACATCGAGATCATCGTTGACACACCACAAACTGTTCCCGAAACAAGATGTGATAACTGGAAGTGATAACTGGAAGTAATAACTGGAAGTGATAACTGGAAGTAATAACTAGAAGTGATAACTAGAAGTGATAACTAGAAGTGATAACTAAAAGCAATTGAACTAGTGTACTAGACTTTAGTATTAGTTTAGAATATTAGTTTAGAGTTTTTTGTTTGTCCTGGATGAACTGGATATCCTTTCCCTAGACTCACCACACGGATAGCCGCATTGTTGTAACCGTCCACCAAATAAGTCCCATCGTTTTGATCAACGAAATTCAATCGAGCTGTTAATCTAAAACTCGAAACTTATAAAAGCTCAATTACTTCTAAAAACCGATAAGAGATCAAAGCAAAAGCGGCAAACCATTTCGCAAAGATAAACCATTTTGTGCTATGAGCCCAGAACTAAATAAAGATTTACTAAATATTTATTTTACCAACTTTCTTTACTAACTTTTCGATGATATCCCGGTAAAAGCACTGAAGTGAATCGATTAAGCGAAAGGAAACAATGTCCAAGGAAATGAACATAGAAGACAAGAGCTGAGACAAGATAAGCAACTCGATAAAGCCATTCCCAAGTCTGGAAAGAATTTTTGATCATTGCTTTTCTCCTTGCCTCCTCAGGTCCAATCTTGTAAACGGTGAGATGGCGAAGGATTGCGTTGATGAAAAGAGAGGCCACGTCAGCAACTCCTCAATTATTACAACTGCTTAAAGGAAGGTGCATCTGCTACCGTAATCTGTAAACTGTAGCCTAGAGCTTACAGTAATTTAACTACAGTAGCCTAGCCCTGTAAACTGTAGCCTAAAGCTTACAGTAGTTCAGCTATAGCAGCCTAGCCGTGTAAACTGTAGCCTAGAGCTTACAGTAATCTAGCTACAGTAGCCTAGCCGTGTAACCTGTAACCTACAGTAATCTAGTTTGTAACCTATAGCCTAAATCCTACAGTACTCACTCACCAATCGAGAAAAACATTGTAAAGAATGGTGAGTGAAGAATCGGATTCTTTGATTGCAAAACCCCAATCAATAACTTTATATAAAGCGGGAATGAAATCGTTTCCAACAAAATACAAACAATATCCAAAGATGAATAGCTTAGCAGGTCATGGGTTGGCCAAGTTGTAGAATTTCTAGAGGAGTTTGTAGAGGAGTTTGTAGAGGAGTTTGTAGAGGGATTTGTAGAGAAACTTGTAGAGAAGTTTGTAGAGGAGTTTGTAGAGGGATTTGCAGAAAAATTTGTAGAGGCATTTGTCCTATTCAACTCTAGAAAATCCTTTCCATGAAAAATTTGCATATCAAGATTGAAATGGATTTCTGATAAAAATTTGAGACTATTTCCGTCGATCCATTTGATTCAAAAACAACATTCTTTCGTTTTCCTCAAATTTTTGCTTTTCTTTTCATTCCCCCATGCATATTTTTTGTAATATCACAAAAAACAAAGAGATTCCGATTGGAGAAATTGATTTGAGTGAAAGATTTACCCAATAACATGCAAAAATCTTCACATTGTTCTTTGTGCTTTGTGCTTTAACGCTAAACGAAACGCACTCTTAACACACTCTTTCTAGTGCGCTCTAGAATCGTTTTGTAGGCTATCGTTTGTGTACCCAGCTAAGAGAGTAATCTATGAATCTACCACTATCAGCCGAGTCGCCGAAATGTAGAATTTAGCTTGTTTTTAAATTATCAAATGAAAATTCTTAAAATTGTTTATTTTCCCCAAGAAAAATATTAGGCTGAATAAAAATACATTACGAGATCACGATTTTCTCTTTGGGGCAATCCGAACGATGTACTGCGGTTCGATCTTGGAACAGGGCGCGGGCCTAGAAATAAATAAAGCTTCGCCAAATAAAGCTAAATAAAGCTTCGCTTCGCCAAACAAAGCTTAATAAAGCTTCGCCAAACAAAGCTAAATAAAGCTTCGCTTCGTCAAACAAAGCTAAATAAAGCTTCGCTTCGCCAAACAAAGCTTAATAAAGCTTCGCTTCGCTAAATAAAGCTAAATAAAGCTTCGCTTCGCCAAACAAAGCTTAATAAAGCTTCGCTTCGCCAAATAAAGCTAAATAAAGCTTCGCTTCGCCAAACAAAGCTTAATAAAGCTTCGCTTCGCTAAATAAAGCTAAATAAAGCTTCGCTTCGCCAAACAAAGCTTAATAAAGCTTCGCTTCGCTAAATAAAGCTTCGCTTCGCCATCTGGTCCGTGCTTTTCTTCACACTAAAACGAAATGAGAAGCTAAATGCAACAAGATAGAGTAAATCTATCAGAAAATTTCTGATATAGTAAGCTTAATCAAAAGCACACATAAAATGTGTTTCAAATCTTGCGAGTAATCCCCTAAAAATGCTGCTTAAGAAGAATTATTAACAAAATAAAAGAGTTATTAACAAAATTTTACTTTATATTAGAAAGAGCATTTTTTTAAACCCTAAAAGACACCTAAAAAGGATTACTGTATGCCGTCAAAAATTTTCTTTCAAAACATTCATTTCAAACATTTCAAACATAAGAATTCAAGAACCATTTCAAGTATTAATCATTCGTTTTTTTTATGAATTTCTTTATTGTTTCTTGTTATATTATTTATTTTTATTAATTTTAATAAAAATTCTTTATTTTAGAAACGATGACGCTAGCAAATTAACTCATGGATTATGAAAAGATCGACACAATGCTGAAAGATCGACACAATGCTGAAAGATCGACACAATGCTGAAAGATCGACACAATGCTGAAAGATCGACACAATGCTGAAAAATCGTGATTCAATGCGGGAAATTGGTCGGAAAATTCATCGTGCTTTTGCTGGGATTTAACGATAACGATTTAACGATAAGAATAAAGGCGTTTCTGCTCAAAGCCAAAGCTAAAGCTCAAAGCCAAAGCCAAAGCTAAGGACCTCAAATGGGCCCAAAACCAAAGCTCACTCCGCGAACAAAACGTCGAATTGTGAACAACATTCATGGAAAGTCAATGAACGAAGTCAAAGATGAACTACAAGAATTCCAAGACGAGGCGAGCAGTTAGAAAATTCACAAATCAATCGAGAGCTCTTCAAAAAACAACCAGCTTTGATGTCTGATTGGACTTCGCCAAGCTACGCGACGATTTTACACTGGTATGTGATGTGCGTTTGTTTTCAATTTATTTTGATTTTCAGCGATGAGAAAAAGTTTAACTTTGATGGGGATTATTGGAGGGATCTTAGACGTTAACCGATGATTTTTGGCACACAAAACTACGGAGACTATGTCATGGTATGGGCTGCGTTTATCGCTCAAGGATAAAGTTGATTTGAAATTCATTTCGAATCGAACGAATAGCCAAGATCACTGTGACGTCTTAGACGACTTTGGTGCCATTTTTGCAACAAAATCCTTGGACTCCATACGTCGTCCAACAGGAAAACGCACCGATTCACGTCAGTTGTCTCACCAAGTCGTTCATGCTCTTCAAGAAGATCAACTCAGTCGACTGGCCAGTTCGCTCAACGGATCTCAATCCTATCGAAAATCTTTGACCTTTGGGGAATAGTAAGGCGGATATGAAAAGAAATCAAGAATTCAGTGCACTAGAAAGAGTTGCGTTTTTAGCGCTCAAAGTACACCAAAAGCATTACACAGTTCTCAATTTCTTTTGTTCTTTTGAATGCCCTTGAGGACAAAAGGAAAGAGTGAGTGGAACAGGATTCAGTACATGCAATTCTTTTTTTTTCATCTCCACCATTTGTTTTCGACTTTCTCCAATTTCATATAACAAAATGTTCCTTCACTTTCTTTTTATTCTATTTGCATTCAGTTTTGATTCCTTTAAGGCCAAACCACCGATCACGTCGTATTACTGGAGTGAGTTCTTTGTGTACTTTGTGTACTTTTGTACTTTGTGTACTTGAAAACAAGCCTTTCCTGGTGCACTGAATTCTTCATTCTTTCGACTCTTTCTTCTTTCTTTGATGCAGCAGAAAAATGAGGAATTTAAATTGAAAAAAAAATGGCGCACTCTTTTCGATGCACTGAATTCTTTGAATTCTTTTTCTCTTGTATAAGTGACGTCTTAAGAAAAAAAAATCAATCCACGAGCTCCTGTGCGTTTCCATTTTAAGCTTTAAGCTCAAAAGTACAAGTTCAGATGTTCGAACATTTCAATGTGATCACTATGATCACTCAAATCTCACTCGTTGTGCCCTCCATCTACCGAAAAGGGAAAGCGAAGTGAACCCGTTGTGTCACGAGGAAACGGATCAAGTAATTCAACAATTGAACAATTGAATAATTGAATAATTGAATAGTTGTTTTTCAAAAATAGCAACAATTATTGGTAATTTGAAATTTATTAAAAAGTAGATCTAATTTTCTAATTTTCGGCTTTTTATCGAATCGAATCGGTTTGGTTTAGGCTGGAAATTTCGAATCAAAAATCGGTTTGATTTAGACTGGAAATTTCGAATCAAATTTTGGTTTGGTTCAATTTTTGGAATCAAATTTTTCCTCCATTTTCCTCAATTTCTCTCAATTTCTCTCAATTTTGGCTTTATTTATAAGAAAAATTCTAAGAAATTCAAAATTCTGAGATTCTAAATCCAATCACTTAAACAATAGCTAAATTGAAAGAAAAAAAGAGATTAGAGTTGAGACTGTTGCCTAAATTTCACAGAAAAATGTGACTCGAGTCTACTGTCGAATCGGATGTGAGGAGGGTGACGAGGCCACTGTTTTGGCAAAGATTCCAAGGTTATCCAAAAACATCAAAATCTTATTTCAAAATTTCAGCTGGAATCACAAATGCAATATCTACTATAGCTACAATTTGGAGCGACGATGGGAGGATTGGTGAGTGGAAATTGGCTGGAAAGGAACATATAAAAGATCGACAATATAAAAGAGCATTGTCTCTCCGTCCCTCTCTCTGTTTCTCAGCCGTCTTTGAGCCAAAAAAACAGAAATTCTTTAAAAACTCGTAAAACTAATATAGTTATCATTTAAAATTTAAAAACGACCAAAAGACCGGGCTTTTTCTCAGCCCTGTTTTGATCAATAAAGCTAAAACTACTTTAGAAAACCTTAGAATACAATATAGTTATATCATTTAAGATAAAAAATCAAAAATTGAGATTCAGTGGCACTACGGGGGAGCGGACCCGGGTTGTCTGAGTTGTAGACAAGAGCTCTCCAACTGCGCCAAAGCGACCAGAAAGCTGTGCGGAAAAACCTGTCCTTAACCCCGCTCACACCACCCGGGCTCCAGTAGTTCAACCTCCCGTAGTGCCGTAGTTCTTAACAGCGGGTTTTTCGGGGTCCTTCCCATCTGTCGCCGTGGCGCACTCGCAAAGCTCTTGTCTACAACCCACACTACCCGGGTTCGACTCCCCATACTGCCACTCAATCTCGACTTTTAATTTTTTATCTTAAATGACATAACTATATTATATTCTAAGGTTTTCTAAAATAGTTTTAGCTTTATTGATCAAAATAGGGCTGAGAAAAAGCCCTTACAGACTACTCTTTGATATAGTAGTTATTATATTGTTCAGACTTTAAAAACTTCAATTCTATTCAATTTAAACAATGTTACAAGTGATTCAGGTTTTTGTGGAGATCCGAGCCTTGTCTCTCCACGTCAGTCTCATTCACGATTCGTTGTGGTTTCCCGAGAAATCCGGCTATTTTCTACAGAGATAACTCTCATCTTTTTGAGTATGAAGATGGATCTTGAAAGAGTTTCAAAGAGCTTCAAAGAGCTTCAAAGACTTTTCAAAGTTTAGAACAATAAATCATCATTAGCAAAACAAAAGAAAAGCAATTTTGAGTACACACAAGTAATCGTTTGTCAATCGTTTGTCAATCGTTTGCCAATCGTTTGTCGTTTGTCAATCGTTTGTCAATCGTTTATCAATCGTTTGTCAATTGTTTGTCAATCGTTTGTCAATCGTTTATCAAACAATCACACACAAGTAATCGTTTGTCTTTCTTCAAGTCTCGTGAACGAATTTCTCTTCTCGGCATTTTCAATGATCCACCAAAATCCGTGTTTACATCGTAAGCGATCAATTTTTCGTGAATTCATTGAATCATTCAAAACATAAGTGCTCATATTTTGAAAAACGCGTTCACAACTGAAAAATTCAACTTTTAGGCATCAATTTTGACTAGTTTGATGTATTTTGAGCCGAAAAATTGCAAAACACATCCCTCTCGGTGCACTGAATTTCAATTCTGCACTAGAAAGAGATGCGCTTACTCTTTTTTAAGCAAAAGATACACTACTGGACAATGACAATATCCATATTTGAAAAAAGATCGTCACTTTCGCACGTCTGTAACTCTCTTTTCTTTACCGTATTTCTAAATATTAATATTACCATTGTGTAGCCCTTGAAAAGAGCTTTCAGAAAATGTATAACACTAATAGTTTAAACTCAAAGACAAGGGAGTTACAGACGCGCGAAAGTGACGATCGTTTTTCAAAATATCATATTTCATTGTCCAGTGCTGTACCCTAGTCGTGTTCTTTGTGCTCGAAACACACCCCTTCTAGTACACTTAAATCTCTAGTTTCTTCATTTATCTTGTGAAAAAAAACCAAGAATTCAATGCACTAGAAAAAGTGTGTTTAAAGGAAAGCGGAGAAATAAACGCACAATACATCCTGTGCCTCCATATCCATATTCTCTGGTCGTCCACCAGCACATTTCGTTTCATTTGGACATAATAAAGTAAGTGGAAGGAGTGGACAATTGTTACCTAAAGCTTTACAATCAATTTTTGATCCATAAATGTTATTTATACTTTCTTCGACTGGTTTAGCATATCCCGCGCGTTCCGTTTCCCAAGTAGGCATCTCTGAAAAAAGCTAGAATTAACTACCGTAAATACTGTAATAGTACCCCCACCACCATCGTACAGTCGCGTAGTCGCAAAAGTTTTTTAGTATTTCATTTTTTTTCAAAGCGCCCGTACTTTCAAAAAATGCATCTTTGGTATCAAAAAATAGCCCTGAATTTCAGCTATTTTTTGATACGTAAACGAGCTTTGTAGCATAAACCAGTGTCGAGAAAAACTCGTTCAAAGCTAGACTACGCAACGCTCCGCACCGTCATTATGGGGGTGGAGTACTATTACAGTATTTATGGTAGCTATTTATCTAGAATGTACAAGACATAGGAAAATTCCAATCCGAACCTAATTCCATCTTCGTTTTCTTGGCTGCTGCTTGGCCGATGCTTGGCCGATTGATCTGAAATCTTGTCTACAGATAGAAATTGATATTTTCAGCTTGTAGACAAAATTTTAGAGCAATCGGTCAAGAAATGGCTGAGAAAACGATGATGGAATTAGATTCGGATTGGAATTTTCACATGACTAGAATTAAATATATAATAAGAAACTAAATATATAATAAGCTATAAATAAGTATTTAGCTAATTCAACTAGTACTTAATTATCTAAATATAGTAAATTAAAAGTAAAACTTAATTATCTTACTGTCAAAATGCTTCTTGAAACTTTCCATATCGTGAATCTCACTGATTTCAACTTTGGCTAGAGCTCTGGCTCTGGCTCTGGCTCTGGCTCTGGCTAGAGCTTTTGGCTTTGTTGTCGTTTCTGAAAGACGGATTACGATACTTTCAATGATATATTTTGATTTCTATGATGATTTCTAAGATACTGTAAATAACTTGGCTCTCAACTTGGAATGACTCTCAACTTTTCTTATGTGCACTCAGTGATAAGGTTGTAAGTTAGGATTTGGTTCAAGGGGTCAAACTACTCAGTTTTACTTTCAAATGAAACAATGATCAACTTGCCGATCTCTTACCCAATGAATGCTCATCTTTCAGCAGCTCATCAATCTCTTTCGATGTCAAATCCCATTCAAAATCCTCAACTGATTCAAAATCTTCTTCTTCGTGCCTTCTCGAAAGTGTTTTGAATGACTGAGATTTTGATTTGTTGATTTGAGTGGAGGAGGGATCTAAAATAAAAAAGATATAATTTAAAATTCAAGTTTCTCTTCTTGGCAAGCTATTTTAATATCTTTAAATATGTATTGTAATTTATCAATTTATACCAAAGCTGGAGCTATTAGGGTGGTGCAAAAGAAACTGCCGATTTGACGGTAAATTCAAAAAAAAGATGGCGTTCGATGGTGACATGATCACAATGGAATATTTTCGCAAGATCTCGAGCAGATTGGCATGGATTGGCATGGATCGGCCTGAATAACGTCCCTCAGCTTGGCTTCGTTCACGACTTCTGTATTGGAACCGTATTGGAACCGTATTGGAACCGTATTATATCCAAAAAAGAACCGTATTGGAACCGTGCTCGTAATCCGTATTGGAACCGTATTGGAACGGTATTAGATCCAAAAAAGAACCGTATTGGAACCGTGCTCGTAATCTTCCAAAGTCTCGTCTCCCTCTCGGAATCGTTGAAACCAAGTCTGACACTGCCTGAGAGACAAACTGCCATCTCCGGAAGCAGCACAGAGAGAACGATGCGATTCGGCAGCAGACTTTCCAATTTTGAAGTTAAACAGTTGTGCTGCTCGTAGCACAAACTGGTGCAAAAGAAACTGCCGATGGGTATCAGCTCTCATTTATCAGAAACGAGCGATGCTAACATGATCTAAATAAAAAAATATAAGCATTTTTAAATAAAATAAACAACAACCAAAAAATTCAAAAATGTCGAAATAAATAGCAAACAAATATGCGAACAAAAATTAAAAAAAAAGAATGCCGTTAGCATCGCTCGTTTCTGATAAATGAGAGCTGATACGCATCGGCAGTTTCTTTTGCACCACCCTAATAGATCCTCAAAGATTTTTGATCTCTCTTTTCATAATTTTCTTTACCTTTCCTCAGCGCTTCGATCACTTTCTCAGCTGACATTGTTCGAAAACAACAATTCCCACAAGACAACAATAACAATATAACAAGAATATGCAGCATTCGTTTTAATAATTAAAGCTTTATTTATAAATCTTTAATATTTAGTAGGTCAAAGATTTTTGTCAAAGCTGAACGATTAAAAAGTAATTGATTAGCTTTGATTAAATATTTAAAATATAAATTTAGATATTATAGAAGAATTTACGTTTTTGAGATAATTGAAAGATTATGAAAAAAGATCGAAAAACGAAAGGAAAAGTGAGAGCCAGGATAACCCAAATTTTCACTTTTCTTTCCGGAAAAAGTGTTTCCCGAAAAGCTGAGAATCTATTTTTGTGATTTTTTTACGTATCAAACAAGTTGATAATTTATTAGAAAACATTTTTAATAATATAGAATAGATATTATTTCGAGATTCAATCAATTCAATAAATCCAATCAATCCAATCAATCCAATAAATCCAATAAATCCAATAAATCCAATAAATCCAATCAATTTGAGAGCCTAGCCGGCACCTTTTCGGGAAATCCACAGTGAACTTCGAGGGTGATCGTCTAAATAAAAATAAGTCTGTGAAAATGATATTGTATAAAGGAGAATTTGATTGGATCATACGATTCTAAGAAAATTAAGAGACAAGACAAGTCAGAACACATTGTTCTCACAAGGGAAATGTCAACCGTAGAGTGTGTCCCTCTCAAGTAATAGCGCAAAATAGGAAACGATCTCGTTTTCTAAAACGTGGATCAGAAGCGTTCTTGCTCATTATCCATGAAATCGAAAACGGAATCGTTTCTTATTTTGCACTATTACTTGAGAGGGACACGCTCTAGTCAACCGGGTGTGATGACCAAAGGCCAGTGACACTTTGAAGCCCCAAAACTCAACTTCAAACACATTTTCCCACACTCTCGTTATGTTTTTCGAAATCTACACATAAAACTACTCCAGAAAAGTGGTTTGCGAAGAAAAAGTGAAGAAGAAAAGTGAAGAAGAAAAAGCGCTCCGCCTCAAATCGATGTAGTACCTACGTAGTCGACTACGTAGACGTAGTAGACGTAGTTAAAAGTAAGCATTTGTATGAGAAGTACTTTGAAAAAAACTTGTATTTAAAATGGAGATCAATTACCTCCAAAAAAGCAAATAAAAGCTAAATTGTGGACCCGAACTCTAGACGGTTTACTTTGCATTTTGGTCGACTACCACACGGACTACCCCACGGACTACCACAGCTATCACACGGACTACCACAGCGACTACCACAGCTACCACCGACTACCACAGCGACTACCACAGCTACCACCGACTACCACAGCGACTACCACAGCTACCACCGACTACCACAGCGACTACCACAGCTACCACCGACTACCACAGCGACTACCACAGCTACCACCGACTACCACAGCGACTACCACAGCTACCACCGACTACCACAGCGACTACCACAGCTACCACCGACTACCACTGCTTCCAAGAGCCTCTAGGAAATCTGCGTATAAATTAAACTCGAGAAATGATTTTTAAAATTGCAAACAAAAATTTGCAGGCTTATAACTTTTGACAGAGTGCTATTTAGCAGAAACGGAAAATAGATTCGGAATCAGCGCAAAATTCTACGTCGGGCAGTATATGGCTTGTGCCATGGTTGACCTGCTCTTGTCGGTTTTGTATTGAATTTCATTTGTGAATTTTTCAAATTCACCTGATTCGCGCAAACGCCCGATCGCCAAATCGACCATTTGTTTCCAATTTGTAGAGTGTCATAAGAATAATATCTAGGGAAATTAAATTAATGAAATTACGGTTATTCTTTATCAAATTATTCGTGTTTAGAAATGGATTTTTAAAAAATAAACATGATCTCTTGTTAAGTGAATAGCTTTATCGGTAAACTCACCGTATACATTTGTGATTGTTCGATGGAGTTTTCGAGATAACTGAATCTCGATCAGCACCCGGACATGAGATCTCACAATCGTGGATCAATGGGGTTTCTATAAGTTGGGTAATAGTTTTAGATTGCAATAACCTAGTACAGGATACCAGTACAGTACAGTACAACAGTACTAGTCACTAGCCCTGTACAGTATCCAGCCTGGTACCCTAGTCTAGCCAAGTACAGTAGCCTAGTCTAGCCAAGTATAGTAGCCTAGTCTAGCCAAGTACAGTAGCCTAGTCTAGCCAAGTATAGTAGCCTAGTCTAGCCAAGTCCAGTCGTGTACCCAGAACTACTGTAGTACAGCCCAAAACAGCAGAAAAACCCCTTTTTAAACATATCCAATATGCGAATCTAGTGATTTCTAATCTAAAATTACCCTATCTTCCCATTAAATACGTTTTTTGCGGGCCTCCCCCCATGACTCTATGGTCAATTGGTTGCGCGCTCGGCTCCCACGCCGGCTTCCTCCCGCCCCCCGGGTTCGAGTCACGCCGACGGTCAATGATTAACTTGCTCTAGAGCAAAATATACCGCCCCAGTCCGAAGTCCTGTGTGGATTGGTACCCCCATATGAGACCAAAGATTCTTTTAAATTAAATTTTAAACCTGGTAGCCTTTTCTCAATCCTCTCTTCGCAAGTCGTTTCCTTCGCTTCTCCATCCTTTATCGATAATTTGCATTCATCTTGCCGACAAATCAGAGTTCTTTTCTCTGAAATTTCGAATTATCTAAGTTTGCATTGAAAAATATCTTCCCTTCCTTCAAATTTTTCAAACCCACCCCATTTGATGAGCTTATTGTAGTCGATTCCGTCGGAAAGACCGGCAAAAGTGATTGGAAAGAATAATTGGAAGAGAAAGAGGTGAAATCTCATAGTTTAGATATAAAATATAGTTTTCTATATATTTAGATATGTTTTTTTAGCTCTAAAGGATCTAAAAGCATCGTTTTCTTTGTTCGTTTTCGCTTTTGAACCGGTTTTCTTTGCTTCTTTGAGCTTTGAGCCAATTCCCTTTGGAACAACAATGGCAATAGTTCAATTTCGCTGGACAAACGAGTTCAATTTTCTCTAGCAATCTTCAAATTTATGACTTTTCAGCTTTAAGAAATAAATTTGTATCGGCATTTGAAAATGGGTATAAAATTTTGAACAAAAAAGAATTGAATGACAGAAAAATTGAACGAAGCCTTGAAGCTCATTTCGACGACTTTAAAATTAAAAGAAAATCTCTTTTGATGCTTTTTTTTTGAAAGTTTTTACTTTTTTAAATCTATATACAGATATATTGAATAGAAAAAAGAAAAAAAGAAAAAAAAGAAAAAAAAAATTGAAATGAATTTTTTTCAGAAAACTCTACAGTAATCCAAAATACGACGTGATCAAGCTATTTCTTTTTTTTCTTTAACTTCTGAATCTTTTTGTTGTGCCCTTAGATACAGTAAAACCATTTGAACAAAAAGATTTCAATGACAGAAAATTTCAACGGACTTCAAGCTCATTTCGACTTCAAGCTTCAAGCCCCACTGTATTTAAGGGCAAAAGATTCAGAAGATTCAGAAGATTCTGAAGATTCAGAAGATTCAGAAGATTCTGAAGATTCTGAAGACTCTGAAGATTCAGAAGCTACTCTGAAGACTCAGAAGACTCTGAAGACTCTGAAGATTCAGAAGATTCAGAAATTCTAACAAAAAGATTCTGTAGCATGAAGCAAAAGCAAATTGAATAGGGTTTTGTAGAGACTTTCAAACACTTCAGCATTTTTTTTTGTTCTACACTCCAATCGGCACACATCGCATCAGACAACGATTCCAGTCACGATCCTCATCGCGAAAACATCTGAAAGCATTTTATTAGACGTGTTTTCCAATTTTTTGGCCTAAAATAGCTTGATCACGTCGTATTTTGGATTACTGTTGAGTTTTTAGACAAAAATTTGATTCTAGCCATTATTGTTAAACAAAAATTTCATTCTAATCATTTTTGCTAGACAAAAATTTGATTCTGGCCATTATTGTTAGACGAAAATTTGATTCTAGTCATTATTGTTAGACAAAAATTTCATTTTAATCATTATTTTTTGTTTTAGACAAAAAAATTCATTAATTTCATTCTAATTATTATTTTTAACAGTTTTAATAACCAAATTGCTATCAATAAAGCAATTTCTTTTCTGAAAAGTTTACAAAAAGATTTTGTGAATCGGAGAAAAGTTCAATGAAATGAGTTTTTGAGTCAGAACAGCAATCGCTCATCATTTTTTATCTTTTTAAGTACTTTTAGACTTTATAAAGCATCAATTAAATCTCTAACTAAAAAACTCGTCATTCTTTCAATGCAAATTGCAACATTTCTTCAAGCAAAGCTTTAATTTAACCTAAATTCAAAGCATAATTCAAAGCAATTCTAAAAGTCAAGCCTAGTGACGGCTTTGCGGCAGCTTTTACTTGACTAGTGAAGTCTTTGAGAAGAATTCTTGAATGTACTTGAATGCAACTTACAAAATACGTTTCAGTGAGTCTAAATAGCTTTCAATGACTGACTGTACTCTCGCTTGGGTATCATCGGGATTCGAGGGACATCGATACCCATCAGGACATGCGCATTTCACTGAAACCGCGGCCACCGTTGACGATCGATCGATGATAAGCTGAAGGAAGTTTTTTTCAAAAAAAAAGCCATCTACAAGATATTGTGAATGTTTTTCGGCCCACCTGTTGACAGTAAACGGCTTCATCCCAAACATTGCACGTTTTCCCCTCCTGATTGACGAAATTCGAGTGCAGATTGAGGGAATTTTCGAAAAAGCACTAAATTTACTGAAAGATTTCGGAAATTTTAGTCAAAACGGAAATCAAACATTGCAATTAGTGTACTGTTTTTTTGGAGTTACACTTAAACTTACAGTAAACATTGATAATGAGGCAAAGAAGTAGAACAAGTGCTCGAGTCTCGGTGGGTACATTCTGAAGGATTTAAGGGGTAGGCTAATTTCCGCTTTGCACAACTGGGTCGTTTGCGCAACTCGCCATAAGTTTCTTCTAAGTAGATCAATCTCTATGATTTTAGTTTCATTTTGTTGCACTCATTGAGTTCTACAAAATGAAATCAAAATCATAAAGATTGGTCCACTTAGAAGAAAGTTATGGCGCGAGTTGCGCAAATAAAATGGCGGAAATTAGCCTACCCCGGATTTAAAGATCGCAAAGTTGACGCAAAAACCGCAAAGCTGACTGAATATCTTGAAATTTAAAGCCAAACAAAAATCTGTACATATTCAGAAAAAAACAACTGATTACGGTAGCTTGGTTTGGCGTTTTCTAAAAGCCACCGTACTACGGCTATCTTTTTTAAAATTTAAGACAGGCTTGGAACAATAAAAGCATCTGGATTACTGTACTTTATACAGTATACAGTAGCTTAACTGTCCAGTTTAACAGTTCGGTAGCTCAGCTAGATTATGGTAGCTTTATCTATTACGGTGGGTCAGCTGGGCTACAGTAGCTTACTATGAATAGTTCAGCTATTCAGGAAACATCAAGGTGCCAAACTAAAGCTGGAATCAAGAAATTTACTAGATTTATGTGAAAATGAGTAAAAAAGAACAGGTCATTATTGCTGGAGTTCTTGAGTGACCATTCAATGGGTGTTCCCCTCCACTTTCCCCCTTTTTTCTTTCTCATTTCCCCATTCACCTCATTTTTCTAAAGTTTCATCTCATTTCAGTAAGGAGAGCCTGTTGAAAAGCTGAAAAGAAAATTGGGAAAAGCTGAAAAGCTTTTCCCAATTCTCTTCTTTTCACTTACAATTAGACAAGAAATGCCTGCGGAAATTTCTCTCTCTTGTCTCAACTTTTCAATTTTTAACCATAAAAGAACTATTTTCCCAGTGACTAAAGTGATATCACTTTCATTGTTTAAATCTAAATTTTGGTTTGACAGTTTAATGTACTCTTGAGGTTCAAGAATCTGGTTGGAAAATTCCGACATCAACCAGCTCATTTGTCCGATTTGATAAATCAATAGATAATAATTTCTGCTGCTTCTAAAGCACTACCCCGAGATACGGTTCGAATGAAAGATGTTAAACTTTCTAGAAGCAACAATTGTTACAACATATTCCAATGTTAACCATAACTAAACATAGCAAAACAAACAAACAAATAACTTTCCCAAAACCAATGTTATCTATTCATCTCTATCACTGTATTCTTCCGATTCTTCAGCTTGTTCAAAGCACTCGTGTGATGGCTTTGCATACAATTGGATGCCCTCCATCCATATCTTTCTTCTTTGCTTTTTGATCACGAATTCTGTCTAAATACGCGAATTTATATTGAGTGATTAATATAAAAAACTAAAATGCAAACTAAACCCACCTAACATGCTTTTGATTAGAGGTTATGTTCAAGAGTTGAATAGCCGTTGAGTCTTTCATGCGTTGTCTCTCTAGATTATTTAAATGTATCCCGGCAAAGCTAGATAAAATGATAGTTTTATACTATACAAACAGATCAACGTTACGAAAACACGCGTTCCGCACTGACGCTGGTAGCAGGAGAAGAGAAAATTTCACATGATGCAGCCACACGATTTTCCCTCATCCAATGGCTAAATTAGAAAATATATAACTTAATAAAGTCGCTTGTAACTTTTCAAGTTTAGCAGTCAAATCAATTCAGCTCAACTTATCAATTTACTAGTTTATAACTTTAAAGTCTGAGCAGCAGAGCATTAATTAAATAAATTAATCTGAGCAGAAAAGTAAGTAAAAGCTTTTAAACACAACTTGCCTGTGAAGCGTGTATTGAAGAATATTGAAGAAGCAAAGCGATGATTCCGTGTGTTTTAGATGAATTGAAGTGACCCCGATGATCTTAAAGAGATATATTAAATATTGAAACTAAATCAACAAAGTTAAAAACAAGTTATAAAAAGGCTATTAATAAGTTAAAAGTAAGTAAAAGCTTTTAAAAACAACTTGCCTTTGAAGCGTGTATTGAAGAATATTGAAGAAGCAAAGCGATGATTCCGTGTGTTTTAGATGAAGAAGTAGATGAAGAAGTGGATGATCTTAAAGAGATATAATAAATATTGAAACTAAATCAACAAAGTTAAAAACAAGTTATAAAAATGCTATTAATAAGTTAAAAAAATGAAAAAATGAAATGTTTTTTTGTTGCAAAATTGAAATTTACCACTTTAATACTCAAAAATTACTCAATTGATTGACTGAATATCTTTAAAAATAAAAAGAGCATATTTTAAAAGACGCAATTTGTGAGATTTTGTGAGATTCTTCTGTAAATGATTTTCAAACTTGATTTAATGTTTAAAATTTGTTCCCTGGGGTTTTCAAGGTCGTAGAACCTATTGGTGGAGTTTATTTTAGTCCTTTCTTCCGAATTGGCTTTGGTTTTTGCATATGATAGCTTTTCACAATGAAAAGACTAGGATTTTCGAGAAGAATCGACAAATCTGTTCCTTTTCTTTTGTCTCGTCAAAAAGATTTCATTCAAAAAGATTCTTCAGAAGTTTTTCCATAGACTAAAAGAGGATTTCTGCAATTCGATACCCCAAAATGAGAAGAGTTTCCTCTTTTCTATTCAGTCATTTTCTTCCGCAAGCAAGACACAAAAATTCCAAGAAGCAACTGTTTTGAATAAACCAAAATTTACAATCAATTGACTCATTTTCTAGAGTTTTCTGACTTTTCTAACTTTTTGGTCTTCGTTTCCCTTTCAGGAAATGGAATTTTGTGAAAGTATCCGAAAATTGTCGATGGGACAGGTGCAATGGGTTGAGTTGACGAATGAAATGGCAAACGACGAATGAAATGGTTCAGCTAAAATTTCTTTTTCAGTTCATTTTCATTGATTTTTTTTAAATTTTTTAGACATGAGCTTACATATCGTAGTGTAAAATGAATGTAAAATGTAAAATGAATTATGGTAAGCATTTATAAAGTATCCGTAATCCATGGCTATTAACCAAGCTAACTTTGGTCGACTTTAAAGCTTTAAAGTTCGACTTTAAAGTTCCGAATGTTGATCTGGTAGTGTGGCTTTGATTTTGAGGTTTTTGATATTCATAGCTTGACTCGTTTTTGAAAGTTTACTTCTGCTTTTGATGAAAAGTGCAGGATTGTACTTGGTGAAGCTCATCGGTCAACTCTGAGACTCTCTTCTGAGGTTCGTCTCATCTAGAGGCTCACTAGAGGCTCACAAACTACCTAAGAAACACCAATTATCAAGTCAAGACTGAATTGGTGTTTCTTAGGTAGCTTGTGAGCCTCTAGTGAGCCTCTAGATGAGACGAACCTCGGAAGAGAGTCTCAGAGTTGACCTTTCGTTGATAAGATACTTTACCAGAATATTACTAAAAAAAAAATTCATAGACTCCCTAAAAATCGATCTCTTTTTTCACTCAAATAATCAAGCTGTGAGAAAAATTTTTTGTAGTCATAGATCGAGGTAATTTTCTCTCTGATTCTCTCTGATTCTCTCCGATTCTCTCCGCGATTTCTTTCCAATCTTCGGGGTCTTTCTTCTCCGTAATTTTTCCATCAAATTTTCCCGAGCCTCCCCCCCCTCAGAGCCTTGGATTCTTTTCTCTGTGAAATAATGAAACCACCACCAATTCTTAAGCCTCTCTTTCTTTTTTTTCTATTTCCACTCTTTTCCACAACCACACACATCATCTTAATTTGAAATCGAATCGATTTGTCCGTTAGAAAGCGGAAGTGCCTTGTTTCCCTTATTTTTCTTTAAAATTTTGATTTAGGTCTTAGGTAAGATCTTTTAGCTTACCTTTAGCTTTTAGCTTCTTCGAATAGAAGACCGGGTACGAATAGAAGAGTATCATCGCGTACTCCTGCGTAGCATCCCTTTTTAGCAGCCCGTATCTGCGTAGGAGCCCTTTTTAAAATTTCTTTTCTGCATAAAAGCTTTCAATTAAGTGCTATAGAGCTGGAAAATGGCTCAAAAATCTGTTAGCTCATGTCGTATTTTTGAGTCATTTTCCAGCCCTATAGCACTTCATTGAAAGCTTTTATGCAGAAAAGAAATTTTAAAAAGGGCTCCTACGCAGGAGTACGCGATGATACTCTTTACCCGATCTTCTATTCGAAGAAATACGGTATCCACTATTCTATTTGTGGGCCAGGCTAGGCCAGACCAATGTCAGAAGTCAATTCCGGTTTTCACCTTGTGTCTAAACTCAGTCACTCTTTAATTTCAGAACAGCTCTGCTTGTTTTAAATATTTTTTTAATTCTTATTTTCTATTCAGCTTTTTGTTTTAGCAGCTGTTTTATTGGATTCTATGAGAAAAAGATTATTTTCAGCGTTTTTACCACAAATTCAATGCTATAGCGAGCGGGAATTCGATCTCTGATTCAAAAGATTTTAAAATCTTTTAAACAAAGGTTTTACAAACTTTAAAAGTTTAGCTAAACAGTTTAGCTAAACATTATCGTAAAGCTTAGGTATTTAATGATTTTAAATTGTAAAAACTTTCTAGTAATAAGTAAAGCTTAGTTTTTACAATTTTAATCATTAAATACCTTTCTAGTAATAATTTCAAAGCAAAGAAAACTGCAGAAGTGATGGGAAATTGGAGATCACGAAACAAGACCGATCCTCGGAGTGTTGATCGGGGAGCCGGCTTTGATCCCGATGAGAAATGGTCGAATTTGTATCGGTGAGTTGAAAGGGAACCCCAAAAAACCAAAGATCTTATTTACATCAATCAATTTATTTACATCTCCGACTCAATTCATATTTGCTTTTTCCAGAGAACGCGAGAAGAATCACCTCTACAAATGGGTGGGCACAAGGAAAGGCGAGCATTTTTTCTGATCTACACATTTAGTACAGTTACAGCTGAACTCTAACCATTTACCGTACCTCAAGATTACTAGATTTGTGTAGTTTCAAATTTTTGACAATTCTTTGCTCTTTTTTTAGTCCGTGGGTAGCTATTCTGAAACTGATTTTCAATTGAATCCAATCTAAAAGCCAGCCTTGGCTTTGCCAGGTCTAATATTGATTCAAAAACTACTAGAACCAGTCAAAAACCAGGACAGGATCATGGCCGCGCTGGACCATGAACTGGGCAATCCCTGACCCTGGACTCTAGCCTGATCATTGGCCGGGCCCTAGCCTGGCCCTAGATCCTAGCCTGATCACTGACCGGGCCCTAGCCTGGCCCTAGATCCTAGCCTGATCATTGACCCAGCCCTAGCCTGGCCCTAGATCCTAGTTTGATCACTGGCTAATCATAACCTGCCCCTGGACCTGATTTCACCATGGAGTACTGTAAATGAGCTTTACTCATTTCAACTCCTTGTTTTAACTCCATTTCAACTCCTTGATTCCTTCCTTTTGACTATTACTTCTTAAAACCAGGAATTATTTCAATCCAACATATCGTATATTCAATCTTTTCTCTTTTCTGCCATCGCCGAACTCATTCTGGTTACGGTAATTTGATTGGGAAAATAGGGAATGAATGGGGGAAAGATTGAGAGAAAATCGGAGAGTTTTTTTTTTGACCTCAACCGTTTCCATAGCAAATCGAGGAAGGGGGGACACCGTCATTTTCGAAAACAGCTACCAGAAGAAAGATGGAGTTGAAGACAAGGGAAATGTTTGGAATAGGCTTTGATCAAATGTTGAACAGTAAAGTACCAGAATTTGTGGGATACTGAAGCCAGCTGGAGTAGACAGTAGCCAGCTGTAGACAGTAGACTGATCTCTACTGTCAACTCCAGTACTAGTTAAGTCGAACGGATCTAATCCGTTCGTCTTAACTAGTATTGGGTTTAAAGAAGTGATTGATTAGTTGGCAAAGTACATTTCTAAACCCTAGCTGGTTTTGAGGTGATTCTCTTTATTCTAGCATTTTTTTAAATGCTATTTTCAAAAACTACTGTAGTCAAGGTGTCTGTTGGGATCAAATCAAAACTTATTATAAATTCTAGGTGGTGATCTGATTGCCGTTTTTGAGCGCGATGGTGAGGAAGGGATTCTCAGGTTCTAATTTTTGAATTAAAATTTAAACAAACCCTTTCTAGTGCAATCATTTTTCTTTTCTTTCAGATTCGCTGAAGAAAAAATGGTGTCAATGCTGTTTAACGAGGGAGAAATGGCGCAACTCATCAAATTTCAAGATTATATCAAATGGAAGAAAGGAGTGGTGAGTGGAAAGAAGAAATTTCTGTCATTATTTGATCTAATAGATTTCTGTAAGTATCCCAAAAGCTTAGAAGTCTTTCAGCTTAAAAGCTGAAGCTTAAAAGTCATTCAGCTTAAAAGTCCAGCTTAAAAGCCGAAGCTTAAAAGCCCAGCTTAAAAGCCCAGCTTAAAAGTCCAGCTTAAAAGCCCAGCTTAAAAGTCCAGCTTAAAAGTCATTCAGCTTAAAAGTCCTTGAGCTTTAAAGTCATTCAGCTTAAGAGTCATTCGGCTTACAAATCCTTCAGCTTACAAATCCTTCAGCTTAAAAGTCCTTCAGCTTACAAATCCTTCAGCTTACAAATCCTTCAGCTTACAAATCCTTCAGCTTAAAAGTCCTTCCGCTTACAAATCCTTCAGTTTTCTTTTAGAATCTCTCTTTGGGTCTTTCTGAGGATGGGATTGAAGAGATGGAGCCGAAATTTCGAGAGCATCATGCATTGTGGAGACTGAATAAAAGAGGGGTAAAAACTTGAAAATTTTTGGGTTATATTAGAATTAATCATTAAGTAGCATTAATCTTTTATTAATTAATCAATCAAAGATCATTAGGTTGATGGTGAAAACGTGATTCATCTTTTGCTGAATCGAGAGCAACCGGTTTGCTATGAGATTGCGAGGATTCTCTTGAAGAGGTTTAAGCTTACCGTTAAGATCATAAAAGGATCATAAAAAAGCTTTGATCATAAAAAGAACAATAATTTATTCTATTCTTCTAATCGAATCTTTCAATTCAATGCAATTCTTGGAATTGGATTGGATGAAAGATTGAAAGAGCAATTTCAATTGTCTTTTCAGATTTCCTGGAATGGTCAACGATGTCTACATGGGTGATGAGTTGTTTGGTAAGGATTTCTCAATGTAATTTCTGAATTTCAAGTTAAAAGTTGATCAAGAAAAAGACATAACAAAAGAAAATCGATCGATTAAGTAAAAAAATCGATTTCCTTTTCTTTCAATCATTCCATTTATAAACGGACAAAAAAATTAATTACGAATCAATTAGTTTCTGTTAGAATTTCTCAAAAAAAACCATAATTTCAAAGAAAACAATTTGAATTTACAAGAAAATCCGTAAAAAAATTGATAGAGAAAAGCTCGGAGATCAAGAAAATGGCAAGAAGTTGAAATGTTTTTCTTTATTGTACTGAATGGAGTTGAAAGTCAAAACACACTCTAGCAAAATGATATTGATACAAGTAATCGTTTTTTTTTGGGGAAAACTCTGATCAAGATTCGGCAGACAAGATCGACAAGCATTCAAGATAAGCAATGACGATTATCGGTCACAGAAAAAGATATTCTAACTAGAGAAAGGCATGAACTGAAGGTGAGCTTTTGTCTGGACTGTCTGGACATGTGGAATTGTCTGGAGAATTTGGCGTCAAACCGATGCTTTAAAAGGCTCCTTTCTAGCAGAGGAAAGGTGCGTTGGTGGCCTAATGAATAACACAATCGGCTTCCAACCACAGGATCATGGTTCACTCCCTGATGCAGCTTTTCTACAGACAAAAGGCACCTTGAGTTCGTGCCCTAGTGAGGTCAACTCCAGCAATTAACCCAGTGACTCAGCTCAAGAGTCTAAGCCTCTCAGCTCAAAAGTCTAAGCCTCTCAGCTCAAGAGTCTAAGCCTCTCAGCTCATCTGGCTAAGCTCAAGGTTGTGCTTAGCCAGACGAGCTAGAGCCTGAGCTTGAGCCGAGCCAGTGGCCACTGTTAGTGGCTCTGTTAGTGGAGCTCTGTTAGTGGCTCTTTTAGTGACTCTGTTAGTGGCTCTGTTAGTGGAGATAACATCATGATATGATACAAGTTAACAATCTAACTGTTGCCTTTTAGGCCAAACCGCTCTCCATTTGTCGATTGTACACGATGATCACGAGACTGTTCAACTACTTTTATCAAATAAAGTAATTTCTTTTTTTTTTAGAATAAACCCTATTCATCTCTAGGCTGATGTAAACGCTCGAGCTTGCGGGAATTTCTTTCTTCCAGAAGATTACAAGACAAGCGGGAAAATCGTTGACTATCAAGGTATGATAAGTTGATGTTTTTTTTTTTAATTTTTCTATATCTAGATTCTTAATTTTTCCAATCCAATCTTAAATCCAGGTTACGCCTATTATGGAGAGTATCCATTGGCTTTTGCTGCTTGCTTTGGGAACAAAGATATCTATGATCTTTTGATACAGGTTAATATTTTTGATCTGACAGAGTTTTCAAAGAGTTTTCATATTTTGGCAAATATTGATATATTTCTTTAAGCATGGTGCCAACCCGAATCTCCAAGATTCTTTCGGGAACACAATCCTGCACATGTGTGTCATCAACTACAGCAGTGTGAGTGCTTTGGAAAGATTTTCATTTAGAGTAATATTCTATATAAAGCTCAAATCGGATTACAATGTTTTTCGCGTTTTTTCAAAAGTCGATTAGTCATTGTTTTTCTTTAGTCAATGTACTCGTACGCTGTGCGACATTGGGCGAAACCAGCCGATCCGCATATTGTTAATTACGCTGGTTATACCCCACTCACTCTTGCCACAAAACTTGGCCGAAAGCAGATCTTCGACGAAATGTTAGAGTTGATGAAAGTGGTGAGTGAAAACTGGGTACTGAGTCTAGAGCTTTTAGCAAATTGTTAGGTTTAAGCAGAGCAGTTCACTGGAGGATCTAGATCTATCTAGATCTCTAGATCTATCTAGATCTCTAGTCCATCTAGATCTCTAGTCCATCTAGATCTCTAGTTCATCTAGATCTATCTAGATCTCTAGTCCAACTAGATCTATCTAGATCTCTAGTCCAACTAGATCTATCTAGATCTCTAGTCCATCTAGATTTACCAAGAACTTATGTTCTGACCAATTTCTGTTTCCAGGAATTCTGGCGTTTTTCTGATATGACTTGTTCGGCTTATCCTCTCACCGCTCTTGACACAATTCGACCAGATGGATCAACAAGTAGGCAAAGAAAATAGCTTTGACTTGGCTTTTCTAAGTTTTAGCTTTAAAGTAAGAATTGTTTGGTATTAATCGATTGATTAAGATAATAAAGAGATAAAGAAGAGAAAGTATTGTCGAATCAATAGGCTTAAGCAATAGCTTCAAGCAATAGCTTCAAGCAATAGCTTAAGCAATAGGCTTCAGCAATAGGCTTCAGCAATAGCTTAATCAATATCTTAATCAATAGACTTAAACCTATTGATTAATCCAACCAATTCACTCTACTAGTAAGCTTGTTTCAAAAGCTATTACTAAAAATTGAATATAGCTTCTTTCTTTCCAAATCTTCATTCCATTTCAGACTACGATTCTGCACTGATGACAGTTATTAACGGAACAACCACTGAACATTTGTAAATTTTTGAAATCTTTGAAATCTTTAACATTTTAAATGCTATTTTCCCATTTACAGAGACATGATTGGAAGTGAAGTGATTCAACGATTGTTAATGGACAAATGGAAAGCATTTGCATCGGTTTGTTTACTTCAATTTGCTTCATTAAAAGCTTTTAGAGGAAACTATTTGAACGTCTTGGTTTACTTTGTATTCATCTCTTTTGTTTATGTTTGGTTGTTTATTTGCGACCGGCGCAAATCGATCGGCTTTACATGATAGCACCGGAGTGGGATGATTATGTGAGTTTTGATTGGTTAAAGTTATTGGCTTGGCTTGGCTTAAGCTAAGCCTAAGCCAAGCCAAGCCTAAGGCTAACAAAGGAGCTTCGTCAACTTACCACCAGCTTTTAAAACATAGCCTAGTAAAGCTTGACCAGTTTTTCGCGCTGAGCGCGATTCTGTATCTGTACATAAATCTACCTGGCCTCAGAGGGCCGCTGAGGTAGATTTGAGTACAGATACGGAATCAGCGCGATTCTGTATCTGGACACAAATCTACCTGGCCTCAGAGGGCCGCTCAAGTACACAATGTGACAATAATGACACAATGTGACAATAATGACACAATGTGTCAACAGATCAGTGCATTTGAAATAGTTTCTTCGTAAATTCAATGTGTAATGTTTTCTTGTATTCTCAACTTTTTGTATAAAATGTTAGATAAAAATAAGTGTTAGAAACTGTTTTTTAAAAAAAAACCAAAAGAAAAATAGAAGTTGCATCCGAGCCAAGGATGCAAGAATGCCAGCGTAGCGCACTACCACTACACCATCCCGTCACTATTCTCTGCCCCTTAATTTCCCTTCTTAAAGGCGATCTCTTCTTTTTAGCCAACTTTAAAACTATTTTTTCTGATTTCAGAGGCGTCCGGGGTAGATTTGTGTACAGAATCGCGCTGATTCCGTATCTGTACTCAAATCTACCTCAGCGGCCCTCTGAGGCCCTCTGAGACCCTCTGGGCCTCTGAGGCCAACTGGTCTGGTGGAAAAACTGGTTAAGATTTACTAGGCCACGTTTTAAAAGCTGGTGATAAGTTGACGAGCCTCCTTTGTAAGCCAAATCTAAACCTAAGCCTAAAAATCTTTCCCATCAGCTTTCCAATTCCAATTCCTGAATTCATTTTTTCCAGGTACGGACCGTTTTCGAGATCCTAACCGTCATTTCATGTATTGTTTTCGTTTTCTTTCAACAGCTTAGCGAGCTTCGGCAACAGGGTTTCTACAGTTATTTGAGAAATTTGGTGAGTGAAATTCGTTGACATCGTTGACAATACGAAAAAGAAGGACACAATTCGAATTCAGATCACAGCGCCAGCGAAAGTGATCTTCTTGATGGCAAATGTTTGTCTCTTATTATGCGTTCCATGTCGAGTGATGAGAAAGCACGAATTCGAGGAAGCTCTCTTCGTTTTTGCTCTTCCCGGCAGTTGGATATTTCTCTTATTCTTTGCGAGGTAGAGAAATCGAAATCTAATGACTAAAAGAAAATCTAGAGTTCGGCAAACAAAACCAAAACCAAAACAGACCAAAACCAAAACCAAAACACCAAAACAAACCAAAACTCAATTTGCATATAAATTAACATGTAAATTTAAAATTGTAAAATGCAAATTTGCCTTTCACTTTTTCTCACTCCACAAAATCTCGCGGCCGAAAAAAGGACCAAAACACGACCTCGAAATTTCGAAACAAAAAATAGCCTATGGGATAGATTTTTGGACGCTGATTTCAAATCTGCAAACAGATTTTCGCTAGCTCCTCCCAATCGCGAGATATTGGCAAGTATTGGTTTTGGTTTGGTTTTGGTTTTGGTTTTGTTTTGGTTTTGGTTTTGTTTTGGTTTTGGTTTGGTTTTGATTTTGGTTAATTTTTGTTTTCCGAAGTCTAAAAAATCATAAACTCGAGTTTGAACTTTTCTCTTTTTTTCAGAAGTTTAAAATTAACGGGTCCATTTGTGCAAATGATCTACAGTATGATTGCTGGAGATATGATTCGTTTCGCTATCATCAGTGCTATCTTTCTTATATCTTTTTCGCAAGGTAAATGAAATTAAAGCCCTATGTATTTCCGTATTCCCATTTTTCAGTCTTTTACTTTGTCGGCAAAGATATGGATGCAAAGCAATCACTTCAAGAAGACGATGATAACTTTTGTGAAGTCACAGGGTTGACTTGATCTTTGCAAATGTTTAAACCAAAGCTTTAGATACACTATTTACACATACAACAATTTTCTGGAAACCTTTATTACATTGTTTCGAGCGAGTATGGGAGGATATGATGTAAGGAATTAGATAGTGAAACTTTTAGAGTTAGGTCGACTAAAGTCGGCATTGGGATTCGAACCGCTTACCAGGCGAACGCTTACCAGGCGAACGCTTACCAGGCGAACGCTTTCCAGGCGAACGCTTTCCAGGCGAACGCTTACCAGGCGAACGCTTACCAGGCGAACGCTTACCAGGCGAACGCTTACCAGGCGAACGCTTACCAGGCGAACGCTTACCAGGCGAACGCTTACCAGGCGAACGCTTACCAGGCGAACGCTTACCAGGCGAACGCTTACCAGGCGAACGCTTACCAGGCGAACGCTTACCAGGCGAACGCTTACCAGGCGAACGCTTTACCAATGAGCTACGCGTATCCCATTGCTGCTAGTGAGTGGATAAAGGACAAATCAAGCCAGAACTAGACCAGGATTTTCTTTCAGACTTGACTTTGTCTTTAACTTGAAATCTATCGTCTCTTGAAATCTACCATTTTCTCTAATAGTAGTGCACCCTGAGCGTCGCCTATAGCTTTTCTTTCTCGATTCTCGAGAATCGCTTATCAGAACCTATCGATGTGGGATCGGAAAATGTAGCTGACGATGAGATCTTGTAGGGGATTTGAGTGTTGAGCTTCTGAGAAAACTTTGGAAGCCGTAAATCGTCATCAACTCGGCTCGCTCGAGTGCACTGCTATTAGAGAAAATACGTTAGTTTTAGATCCTATCCAATCCTAGCTAATTCAGGGTAAGGGTAAGGGTAATGCACTACTATTAGAGAAAATACGGTATTCTTTTACAGTGTTGAAATCCCATTATATCCTTTTTATACAATCCGAAAAAGCAATTTAAAAATGATAACTTCAAAATTCGGATTTTTATTTTTAGTACGAGGAATTCGCTTGCGCTAACTATGAGGGTTTAACGAAAACCCTTTTTGTTTTATACATGTTTGTGATGCCAATAATGATGATTAATATTCTTATTGCTATGATGGGAAACACATATACGACTGTCATTGCACAAGCTGAGAAAGCCTGGAGACAACAGGTTTGTCGATCTAAAGGTTTACGATTCATTTGGGGCATTAAGCTTGTAATACTATAAAGAACATCGAGACTTGCTTGTTCGTATTAACTATTAGATCTTATTGCTGTTGCTAGATTGCTAGATAGTATGGATATTTTTGAACTGTTAGCTCAAGAGAACTGTTAGAGAACTTTTGAACTGTTAGCTTTTCTACAGCATGAGACCGTCTCTAGAGCTTGTAAGCCAAGGTTGGCTAGATTGGCGCTTGAAGCTTGGCGCTTGAAGCTTGGCGCTTGAAGCTTGGCGCTTGAAGGCTTAGCCAGCTTTAGGCTTAGCCAGCTTTAGGCTTAGCCAGCTTTAGGCTTAGCCAGCTTTAGGCTTAGCCAGCTTTAGGCTTAGCCAGCTTTAGGCTTAGCCAGCTTTAGGCTTAGCCAGCTTTGGCTAGCCAGCTTTGGCTAGCCAGCTTTAGGCTGCCAGCTTTGGCTTAGCCAGCTTTAGGCTTAGCCAGCTTTAGGCTTAGCCAGTTTTAGGCTTAGCCAGTGTTAGGCTTAGCCAGTGTTGGCTTAGCCAGTGTTAGGCTTAGCCAGTGTTAGGCTTAGCCAGTGTTAGGCTTAGCCAGTGTTAGGCTTAGCCAGTGTTAGGCTTAGCCAGCTTTAAGTTGAATTGACTTCTGGCTGATTCTTTAGTCTTTATTTATAGCAGAAAGTTTAAACCTTTATTTTAAAATCCCAGAAAGTTGAGCAATCTTTTTATCACAGTTTAACTTGAGTCAATTTAGTACGCTCAAATCGTGATGGTTTTGGAGAGATCGGTAAACCGGGAGAAGCTAGCCGCTTGTCAATTGGAGTACTCGATTAAATTGAATGAAAGCAGTGATACAGGAATGGAAATCCGAGGTGAAATCCTTGATAAAATCGTTACAATTGTAATTACAATCTACAGGACTCATGGTCATCAAACAGACGAAAAAAACGAGAGCAAAACAAAGGAAACAAGCGATTAACAATTGGAAGAATATTGGGAGAAAGGTGATCTTTTGAATTGTAACTAGCATTCAAAAAATAAAGCTGGGATTGTAGTACATTGTAGTACATTGTAGTACATTGTAGTACATTGTAGTACATTGTAGTACATTGTAGTACATTCAAAAGACTTAGAACATGAAGAAAACGATGAGTGATTGATTTTGATTGATTTTGATTAATGATTTATTTGATTTTTTTACTGATTTAAGTCAAAACAACTCTTTAGAGAAGCTTTGGAAATTTTGAGATGATTTATCTAGATTTTAAATATCTTAAATATCTTAAAGCCATTATTTCAGGTAATTCATACAATTGAGAAAGTCGGTGTCGATCATGCAATCCTTCTTCTTCATGGACATGATCGACTTGTCGATGAGGAAAGAGTACCAAGTCGAAATCGAACACCGACACGGTAAGCTTGATAGTATTCGTTCCTAGGTATAAACGGATGTGGACTAGAATTTGGGTTAAGTTAAAGAGAGTGGATCCCTTTTGATATCCCGCCATCTCTGACATCTCTAACGAATAGATCTCTAACGAATAGATTACATCTCTAACACCCCGACAACCCAACTCAACTCCTCCAACGTATTAGAGGGGAGTCCCTGCGAAAGCTATACTGACCGATCTGTACTGCAGTTGCATAGACCCGGAAGATATGTATCTTTATTTACAGTAGTATAATAAGACGAATAGATTACAAATAAGTGTAAGGGGAAGGGGAGACTCCAAATGAGAGTCTCACTTGTCCTCCTAAGCAATCCCAAGGACCGCCACTTCTCGGCAATAAAAGAAATAAGCACAGGGTGGAACACATTTACATAAGAATAGACAAATCATTCAATAATAACAATAGTAACTAAAATATCAGTTTGACTCGGAGCCGACAATAGTCAATTTCCTCAAATCAGATTCTAAACATTAGATTGTTTATTTTCTAATCATTAAACTCTAGAAAGTTCAGAAGAAAGTCCTTTTTAAACTTGAAATCAACAAATACATCAATCATCAATCAATTCATCAATCATCAATCCATCAATCAATCATCCATCAACAATCATCCGACTTCCAAGACAACTCTATCAATTCCTTTTCCAGACTAACAACCGGTAGTCGAACACGGCCAAAAACAGTGACTCGTGAGTTGTCAACAGCTGGAAATGGTTCGATGACGGAAAGAAAAGTGCATAGTCCTTTCGAATTTGCTGAGGTGGTCACTGAAAAAGCGCGTTTCGAAGAGGTTCGTGTTGGAACGGCTGCCCGTCCACTCTCCTCACTCTCCACCATTTCCACAACACTTCAGGTAAAAATGGATGAGCGCTTGGAAACACATAAACTATCCGCGCCACAAAGTCTCCACAATGAGGTTAGCAAATGTTGCTGTGTTTTTGAAAGGAAAACTTGCTGTGAACTGTTTTAAGCAATTTCTGTGCTTTGTTTTACGCAAAAAAAAACTCTCTAAACTCACCCTTTCTAGCACACAAAAGTCTTCATTTTTTTTAAAGGAAATAAAGATTTTAATATTTTAATACACTAGAAAAAGTATTTACTGCTTAAATTTTAAATTTAAGCAGTAAAATGGTCTTTTTTTTTGTTTGCAGTGTCACTTTGAATATTAAGTTTTCTAAGTCTTAAGTTTTCGTTTCAAATCAATTATTTTTTTCAATATTGTAATTTAATTGGATAAAAGACTTTGAATTAACTGTATTTTTTAAGAAAATCCTCAATTTTAGCCAGTAATCAACGAATCTGAAAAAACAAAATCTTTTTGCACTAGAAGAGATGGGTTTACAATTTTTAAACAACAAAGTACAATTTTTGTAGCTTTATTGATTTGAATGGCTTTCCAGAAATACAACTTACTCTTATCGAGAATTTCCCAAACGTTGAGCGTCTCAAAAAAGCTCCAATTCCCATCGAGAGTGATTAGTGGAAGGCCATCAACCTATAAGCTTTTTTCTATCGTGGTCCAGTTGCCGTTATGGCCGTTGTATCTTGTATACTAGCCGGAATCTTGTATACTAGCCGGAATCTTGTATACTAGCCGGTTAAGAATCTTATATACTAGCCGGGAAGTCACGGGTTCGAGCTAGCGCCTAGAAAATTTTTGCTTTTTCCTCTAGTTTTTTCTCTGGAACATCTTTAGAGGTATTCGAGCAGTGTGTTGAGTTTTGTATTTGTTTATATTTCACATTATTCATATTACATAAATCTATATAAATGCATAAACTTACACTCATTTTGAGGCCACTTTTTTTAGCGCAAAGGGTAAAGGGAAAACTTGCTGTGAACAAATTTCTCTGCTTTGTTTTACGCAAAAACAAAACTCTCCTAAACTCATCCTTTCTAGCACACAAAAGTCTTCATTTTTAAAGGAAATAAAGATTTTAATATTTTAATACACTAGAAAAAGTGTTTACTGTTTAAATTTTAAATTTAAGCAGTAAAATAATATTTTTTTTTGTTTGCAGTGTCACTTTGAATCTTAAGTTTTCTACTTTTTATCAAACCTTTTTAAATCAATTATTTTTTTAAATATTGTAATCTAATTGGATCAAAGACTTTGAATTAACTGTATTTATAAGAAAATTCTCAATTTTAGCCAGTAATCAACGAATGGCAACCCACAAATGCCCCTTTGGCTGAAGTCGAGGAAACGAGCACGCCACATGTATCCATCACAATGCAACAGGAAATCCTTGGACAACAAAGGGTGCATAGCTGAAGAATCTAACAGTTTCTGGCTTCTCTAATACCTCTAAGCTGACTCTTACAAATCATTTTTCCAGGTTCGTGTTCGTGGCGCTGAGATGATCCCCTCAAACGATGTCCCCAACATGCCCACCTCCACCCAGGCACATCGGTAATCAGATGTAATTTTTATGAGAACAAACCATCACAGAATCTTTGGAACTGCATGGTTTCACGAATAGTTTAGCACTATGTTTTATTGGGACTCAGCCAGACCCAGGCTAGGCTAGGATCCGGCCAAGATCCATAGTCTATCGTCAGGCCAAGGAGAAGCTAGAGTCCAGGGTTAGACCAGAATCAGGCCAGTCTAGGGGTTGAGGGTCTAGGCTTAGACCCAGCCAGGGTCTAAACTCAGATCAGGCTAAACCAAAGAGAAGTTAGGATCCAGGGTCAAATCAGAGCTTAGCCAAGGTCCAGGACTTAGGATTAGGACAGGATCCAGAGCCAGGCTGCGATTCAAGATCCGGCCAGGATCAAGCCAGGGTCCGTCCAGAGTTCTGGTCTTTCTTCTGGTAGTTTGACTCTGGCCTCTATACTATCTTGGCCTTGAAAAATGAATCTTAGAAAGATCTTGGCTTTGTTTTCAAAAAATCAGTTCCAGAGCCGTTTCCCCGAAAGTACGGACGGATATGTTCCGTCGAAAGGACTCGCCCGGATCTGGTGGATCAAAATAATCATTTTTTTTCTTTTGTCTATTACATTTTCGTTTCATTTTAAGAGAATTCATTTTTTCTTTGAATGATAGATTCGATCTCGTCATTTTTTTTGGGTAAAAACATTTTCATATTCGATTTTTACATTTTCCATATGTTTGTGCCTATTTAAAGCCAATTTCGACAAAATTTTCGTAAACTTTAACTTAAATCCGGAGAATTTTAGCCAGATTGCCTTTTTTTTGCTTTTTTTTAACCAGAATACATCTCAATCGATTGAAAATCAATTTATTGCGAGAAAAGAGTTTTTTTGAAGGAAAGAACGCTGCAAATTTGAACCCGTATCGTTGAGAAAATCGAACACATAAGGTTAAGACAATAAAAGGAAGAAAAAAAATGGAAAGAAGTCAGATGGGGATTCGAACCACCGATCATCAGACTGGTAAGCGAGTTCGCTAGCCACTTGACTAAAGGCGCTTGCGTGGAGGGCGATAAAAGATGCATGAAATAGAGCCCGGTTCAAATTCTGACTGTCAACCCGTCAAATTGAGAACTGAGATGTTTAGAAATGTTCTTTAATGTGTACTTTGTGCGTAAAAATGTAAACACAATCTTTCTGGTGCACTAATTTTTTTTTTGAAAAAACGCCTTTAAAAAAAATTTTTTTTTTGAAACGAGTTTGCCAGAAAGAGTGCGTTTATAGAAATTTGAGATAAAGTAGACTTTAAAGAACAAAGATAAAGCAGAATATTTACAAAACCACTCAACAAAAGTATTCTTTATTTGAGAGAGTGCTCTGAACGAGTGGCTCTTCCGATCGTGAGCCTGAGCCACTGTATTGCTCGACACCCTGAAAAGCTTATGAGATTTGTTTATTTGACTATTGTTATGACTATAACTGTCCTATCATTATCCCAATTCTCACCTCATTTGTCTTATAGACTCCCTCTGGTCTTGATCTCATCCAACATACCAAAACGCAAAGTGTTAACAGTAGAACTCCACCCAAACAAGCGCCACCAATTGCTAAAGTTTCGATTTTGTAATATTCTTATTTTCTTTCTTCTTTCTTCTTTCTTCTTCCTTCTTTCTTCTTCTTTTCTTCTTCCCCCTTATCTTTCCTTCTTTCTCTTGGTAAGATAAGTACCGAATAGCTCAATAGTTAGAGTAATTGCTTGAAAAGCAAAAGCCCGGAAAGCCGATACTTCAATCTCCTACTGGAAATCTATCTGCAATTCCTTTACTATATTTTGACAACCTAGCCTGGTTGAATTCCATCCAAATTACAGTATCACTCTTGTAAATCAGTCTAATATTGTAGAAAGCTTAGAGGATCAAAAGCAGGGGAACATGGTAGAGTTATAGAATTTTTTATCAAGGGTACTAGAGAAAGGTCAAGGCTATTTTTGATGCGCATCTAGTGTATTTGATAGAGCTTTAAATGAGGATTCCGAATTTGCTTCTAGTTTTTCTAATGGAGCTCTGTATCGTAAGATATCTGGCTTCAAAGTTTAAGACTGAAATCCGACTGTATTTCAGTAGATACTAGATGATAGCAGCTATGATCTAGAGGTAAATCGCTGGAATCCCAGCCAGAAGAATCCTGGTTCGGTTCCCGTTACTGACATGTTAATGAAATGACGGCGGCTCGACTTCTAACAACGGACGAAATCGAGATCTCATCGAACGGGGTACTTGTCGGCTCTTCTTGGCTAACCTCTCTGAAAGATAGCAAATAGAAACTTGAATACTGTATAAGATCTATAGTTCTATAGTTCTATAGTATTTAAAACTCACAGACTATTCACTGGACAAGTCCCGAATCGAATATTTCCTGTGTGTTTTAAACGGGAAGCTTTCGCGTTTTTCAACGGAAAAGAGTTTCCCACTCGTAGTCGTGAGACGCAACCGGTGAAATCTGAAAAAAAACAAGATCTTTTTGCACTAGAAGAGATGGGTTTACAATTTTTAAACCACAAAGTACAATTTTTGTAGCTTTATTGTTTTGAATGGCTTTCCAGAAGTACAACTTACTCTTATCGAGAATTTCCCAAACGTTGAGCGTCTCAAAAAAGGTCCAATTCCCATCGAGAGTGATTAGTGGAAGGCCATCAACCTATAAGTTTTTTTCTATCGTAATTCAGCTGCTGTTGTGGCTGAGTGGATAAGGATCTTGTATACTAGTCGAGAAGTTACGGGCTCGATTCTGGCCGTTGGAAAATTTTACTTTTTCCTCTAGTTTTTTCTCTGGAACATCTTTAGGAGTATTCGAGCAGTGTGCTGAGTTTTGTATTTGTTTATTTCACATTATTCATATTGCATAAATCTATATAAATGCATAAACTTACACTCATTTTGAGGCCGCTTTTGTTAGCGCAAAGGGTGATATCGTGGAGTCGTTCATCGTTCACCACAACACTTCGATCCGATTTTCGATGCGTGAACATAAACCCATCCCAGCCGATCACAGAGAGATGGCCTAAAGTTTGTTTTGCGAAAAATTGAGCACCATTTCTGGTATACGAATTTCAAGTAAGAACTTCTAGAACTTCTAGTAAGTCCTTCAAGTCCTTCTAGTAAGTCCTTCTAGTCAGTTCTTCTAGTAAGTTCTTCTAGTCCTTCTAGTAAGTTCTTCAAGTCCTGCAAGTCCTTCTAGTAAGTCCTTCTAGTAAGTCCTTCAAGTCCTTCTAGTAAGTCCTTCTAGTAACTCCTTCTAGTAAGTCCTTCTAGTCGTCCTTCTAGTAAGTCAAAATTTCAAGTCAAACCTTTCCCACTCATCGACAAATTGAAACGAGCTGCGGAAAAGAGTGAGCGTCCATGAATCAAAGAAATGTTTGAGGAAGCTGTCTAAAGTATTTTTTTGATGTTTATGATTAATCAAACACCTAAGAACTAGACAAATTTTGTAAGTTACTGTACTTGAATAGCCATTCGATGACAAAGATCTTGTTGATTCGGGTTTTGCCATGGGATCTCGAGTGAAGAGTTCAATGGTACCCACATACCGTATTCTGGAAAAAGAACAAATCAAGTTCAAGCTCAACAAACAGAAACAAACACTTTCTGGCATATTGTCAAGTAAAGTTGTCTTGTTCTTTGAAGCCTTTCTGACTTAAAGAAGAATTCAGTGCACCAGAATCTTTATACATCAAGAACTCTTTTTTTAAAACCTTTTGTGCAATCGTGTCCTCCAAAAGGTGTCAACGAGCAATCGCAACGATGTGAATCGAAGCCATCAACGCATAAACCACCATTGTGACAGAAACCTGGTTGACAGGATCCACCCTCTCCAATCTGAACACAGTTCTCAGTTTTGTAGAAGAATATAGATAATTTAACGCCCGCCAATCGATTCCCCGATCTCGAAAACTCAAGATCGCAAATTTACAGCTGAATACAGCTATTCTATCATCAAAAGAGAAATCCCTAGAAATGACTAGATGCTCTTTGTGCGCCCACGTAATCGCTCGCCGTCTGGCAACCCGCCTTAGCATAAGGGCTTCCCTTTTCGGCTTCGAAGCGATGTGCAAAGACGTTAGAACTCGCGAAATCAATGGCTCAACTATCAATCAATTAATCAATGCTTTATCAAACAAAGTGGCTCGGCAGAAGATGGCTCGACAAATTTAGCCAAAATTTCCGACAAAATTTCCGTGTTTGCCTCATGTCTATGCTCAAGCTTTTTATCCATTTTTCCCTTCAAATTTTAATATTTTTTTTAAATTCTACATCTGATAGTAAAAAAAAAAGTTTATTAGTTTGTCTTTTTTAAACTTAGCGTCACGATTTAAAAAATTTTTTTAAAATCAAAGTTTTACTAATAAACAAAAATTTTTTTATTACTATGAGATGTAGAATTTATAGAAAATAGTCAAATTTGAAGGGAGAAATGGATTCCCCGAATCCTTTACCTTTAGATTGTCTACATTTTTCTAGAAATTCAATTTCCGGTTAAATTCTTGCGTTTTTAATTAGTTCATGGTATTTAAAATCTGATTTGATTCATTGATAAATTGATTTTGAATACCTAAGAATCTTTTTAAACTCTCTAGGCTTTCTAAATTTTCTAGGCTTTCAAAACTTTCTAGGCTTTTTAAACTTTCTAGGCTTTCTAAACTTTCTAGGTTTTCTAAACTTTCTAGGCTTTCAAAACTTTCTAGGCTTTTTAAACTTTCTAGGCTTTCTAAACTTTCTAGGCTTTCTAAACTTTCTAGGCTTTCAAAACATTCTAAGCTTTCTAAACTTTCTAAACATTCTAAACTTTCTAGGCTTTCAAAACATTCTAAGCTTTCTAAACTTTCTAAACATTCTAAACTTTCAAAACTTTCAAATCCTGACCTCAACCCCTTTCACAGGCGCCTTTCTAGCCGAGTTCCCCAAAACGATCTCCTCTCCACAAAGATAGATATTCCTGAGCACTCCCGCGAATCCCGTCAACCCTTTGCCCTCTCTTGATCCAAATGTCCATTGATGTACATTTGGAAGCAAGATAAGACCCTTGTAATGAACAGTCGATCCATCAACACTCAATCGCATCTAAAGTTTTTGAAGTTTAAATTTTGAATTAAAATCTAGGAATAAATTTGCCTAAACTTACGCCCAAAGAGTCAGCTTCCCAATAGATTGAATGCCATTTTCCATCGTTGAATGCTTCCTTTGTTGATAGAGTCACCGTTTCACCGCCATTTACAATCTCTCCAATGAGTTGACCACCTGTAAGTCAAAAATGTTTTAATAGGTTTTAAAATTGAATGGATACAAGTATCAGATCGATCATGTAAAGAGTTAAAGTATTAGGTTTGAAAGAAAGTTCTCGGAAAAAGTAGTTTGTACGGTGATTTCTCATAAACCAAACCTTTCCAGATAAACTTAACTATATTGCAGAAAGTTTTTTAACAAAAAAACAGAGTGGGCTTCAGGTAAAAAAAGAGATTTCTTCAACTGAAGTGACTTGATCACTTTTTTAGACGAGTTTTTAATGGGGCAATGGGTCTCATTCAAAACCTAAAATGAAATACTTAAAATAGGGAAAATTTTTGATAAAGGAAAATTTTATGCTAATGCTTTAACTTTTCAGAATCACCTATTAGTGCCACTAAACACTTACAGCTTCTTTGTAAACACAGTAAACACTTAGTGCCAAGGGAGATGACACCAAAAATTCAATCAAAAAATGATTTTTTTTTTTTAAATACAGCTTCTATGTAAAGAATTTGTTGACCAAAAATAGAGATTATAGCTCATTTATGATTGCTATTTATTGGGTTGATGCATAATTATCCGGACTTCTTTTTGCGTGCTTGTATCTTTTTTGTTTTGAAAGCTTTTTGTCTATTTCTTTTTTTTAAATATTCGTTATTCTTTAGTGAACAAAATGCGTGTCGACAATCATATCCATCTTCGCCATATCATGCTCTACCACTTCGAAAAGGGATGGTCTGCCGCAGAGTCGTTTCGCGATCTCAAAGAACTGGAGAAGCCCCAACGGACTACCACGTCAATCGATCGCTCAAAAATTGGCAAACAAATAAGATCTACAACGATTTGGATGACTTGATAGACGATGTTAAAGCGTGGATTGCCTCCAAAGATCGTTTATTCTTCGCTCGTGGAATCGATCGTCTTCCAAGCAAATGGCAATCAGTTATTGATGTAGGCGGTGAATATGCTCCAGAATAATCAATTAAACATATTTTTCTAACTATTTATGTTATTTTTTGTTAAATAAAATCATTTATAAAAGAAGTCCGGATAATTATGCATCAACCCAATATATTGCTCATTTATGATTGCTTTAAACTCATCAGAAATCGTTTTTCTCGTTCAAAAAAGTGAGCTGAATTTAAGCTGGAAAAGAATAATGTTTCAAAAATCTTCAAAATTTAAGGGAAAGCTTTACTCATTTTTTTTTTTTACGAGTAATTTCTTGAAGTCGACTTTTAAATAATAGAATAAAATGTTCTTGAATTGGTGGATTCGTTGGATGGAGTCTTGGTCTTGGTCACTAATACACAAAAAAAAGACTTGATCACTTTTTGAGTGAGCAGCCTTTAGACGAGTTTTTATTGGGTTGATGCATAATTATCCGGACTTCTTTTATAAATGATTTTATTTAACAAAAAATAACATAAATAGTTAGAAAAATATGTTTAATTGATTATTCTGGAGCATATTCACCGCCTACATCAATAACTGATTGCCATTTGCTTGGAAGACGATCGATTCCACGAGCGAAGAATAAACGATCTTTGGAGGCAATCCACGCTTTAACATCGTCTATCAAGTCATCCAAATCGTTGTAGATCTTATTTGTTTGCCAATTTTTGAGCGATCGATTGACGTGGTAGTCCGTTGGGGCTTCTCCAGTTCTTTGAGATCGCGAAACGACTCTGCGGCAGACCATCCCTTTTCGAAGTGGTAGAGCATGATATGGCGAAGATGGATATGATTGTCGACACGCATTTTGTTCACTAAAGAATAACGAATATTTAAAAAAAAGAAATAGACAAAAAGCTTTCAAAACAAAAAAGATACAAGCACGCAAAAAGAAGTCCGGATAATTATGCATCAACCCAATAATTTGGCGAATGAATAAGCAATTGGTCTCATTCAAAACCTAAAATGAAATACTTAAAATAGGGCAAATTTTTGATAAAGGCAAATCGAATGCTTTAACTTTTTAGAATGATCTATTTGAGTAAACACTTAGTGCCAAAGTGACACCAAAAAGTCAATCAAAAATGATTTTTTTTTTTAAATACCCATTCTATGTAAAGAAATTTTGACCAAAAATAGAGATTATAGCTCATTTATGATTACTGTTATATTGCTCATTTATGGTGCTTTAAACTCATCAGAAATCGTTTTTCTCGTTCAAAAAAGTGAAGCTGAATTTAAGCTGGAAAAGAATAATGTTTCAAAAATCTTCAAAAATTGTGACAAGCTTTACTCATTTTTTTTTACGAGTAATTTCTTGAAGTCGACTTTTAAATAATAGAATAAAATGTTCTTGAATTGGTGTCGTTGGATGGAGTCTTGGTCTTGGTCACTAATACACAAAAAAGACTTGATCACTTTTTGAGTGAGCAGCCTTTGAACGAGTTTTAATTTGGCGAATAGAATAAGCAATTGGTCTCTAATTCAAACTCTCCAAATAAAGTACTTAAAATAGAGGAAATTTTTGATTAAGGAAAATTTTTTCTAATGCTTTCCCTTTCAGAATCATTTATTTTGGTAGACCCTAGATTTGAAATTTGAATTTTGAATTTTTAAGTTAATTTTTCTTATCCAAATGTTAAATAGTCATTTGTTATGATTAAACTATAAAAAAAAAAAAAAAAAAAAAAAAAAAAAAAAAAAAAAAAAAAAAAAAAAAAAAAAAAAAAAAAAAAAAAAAAAAAAAAAAAAAAAAAAAAAAAAAAAAAAAAAAAAAAAAAAAAAAAAAAAAAAAAAAAAAAAAAAAAAAAAAAAAAAAAAAAAAAAAAAAAAAAAAAAAAAAAAAAAAAAAAAAAAAAAAAAAAAAAAAAAAAAAAAAAAAAAAAAAAAAAAAAAAAAAAAAAAAAAAAAAAAAAAAAAAAAAAAAAAAAAAAAAAAAAAAAAAAAAAAAAAAAAAAAAAAAAAAAAAAAAAAAAAAAAAAAAAAAAAAAAAAAAAAAAAAAAAAAAAAAAAAAAAAAAAAAAAAAAAAAAAAAAAAAAAAAAAAAAAAAAAAAAAAAAAAAAAAAAAAAAAAAAAAAAAAAAAAAAAAAAAAAAAAAAAAAAAAAAAAAAAAAAAAAAAAAAAAAAAAAAAAAAAAAAAAAAAAAAAAAAAAAAAAAAAAAAAAAAAAAACAAAACAATAATCAGTAAACAATAAAGATTGCGCACAAGACAAATGAATTACTTTACAGTTTTCTCGGTTTTAAACCATAAATGAATAACCAAACTAAAAATGAAAATTAAGGCAAATATTTGTCTACGATCTGAACTTAGTTCAAAAACAAGCTTTAGCTATACATTTTGCATTCATTTTTCAGCATTTTTCAATAGCATTTTCTACATATTTACCTTTAATATAAAGTTGAAACCAATACCCTGCAACCCGTCGACGCTTTCCCAAGTGAAAGTCGAGAGTATGAGTAGAGTGAAACCAATGTGAAGAAAATATAAAGAAAATGATCGGTTGAGACGAAAAGAACCGGATAATCATGCGTTTTTCGAGCTGAATGTCACCGATTCAGAAGACCACTGAAAACAGTAGATTAAATCTATTTCGATATTTGATAATCTATCAAAGCTTTGTATATCTTTGCTCCTTCTCTCTTAACTTTGTCTTCTCTAAGAAAGCAGACACCGATAGCTCAGTGGTAGAGGCTTGGACTTAGTGCGAAGGCTAGCGGCTAGCGCCTAGCACTGAGTCTAACACCCATTTTCTGGTTTGGGCTAAACCCCCATTTTCTGGATCTCAGCCAGTTCTCGAAGCTAAGGGACACCCGCTTGGCGATGCTCATCAAACTTAGGCTTAGGCTTGGGGTGTGCAGAGGGTAAGCAGAGGTCAGGGTTCAATTCCCTCTCGGTTCAAAATTCTTCATCAGCCTTTTTTTACTTTACTTATTTAATAATATATCCTATCTGTTTATTAATATCTAGTTTTCACTGTTTATCTACTGTTTAAGTTTAAGTTTAAGCAGTACTGTTTATCTACTGTTTATCTACTGTCTATCTACTGTCTATCTACTGTCTATCTACTGTCTATCTACTGTCTATCTACTGTCTATCTACTGTCTATCTACTGTTTATCTACTGTTTATCTACTGTTTATCTACTTTTCATTCTAGAACTCACTTTTATTTCTATAAATCAACGGTCCAATGGATACATTGTTGGCTGAGGTGCTACTTGTACCGCCCAAATAAAAAACTGTGACTGGGAAGAAGTTGAGGAAAGGATTCCAACCGACATCAACCCCATCTTCGCCTGAGTCACAGTTGCACATTCTAAAATTATCGATAGCTTCAGGCTATAGTTTTCACAATGACTCAATAAGGATTCCTAAAAGTACTATAGTAAACATATGGAGTTTAAAGCTCTTTTTAAAAGGTTACAATCTCATTAGTTTTTTTTTACAATGATAGCTTTAAATAAAGAGCTTGAGGTTTAAGAAACTAAAGGTATTGAAGTAAAACTTGGGTTCTTGAAAAAGTTTTAAAGGAAATAACACAATCCTGAATACAAGTGAATTCACCGCAGGACTACAAATCAGAGGTAGGGTGGAACACTGAAATATCCAATTGTTGAATGTTCTCGGTGTTGACGTTCCGAGTGTTTTTATGTCCATCTTGATGTCCCTGTTGACGTGGTTCTTGATGTCCTGCTTGAATTGGTTCTTGATGTCCCTGTTGAAATGTTCTTGATGAAATTCTTGGAAAAATTCTTGATGTCATTCTTGATATCAGTTTTTTACATTCTTGATATCATTCTTGCTTTTCGACTATACCTCTCCCCATTGTAGCGCATGTTTATCACTTCTTGTCGCATACCAACTTGATGGTGTCCTCGAATCATTGTATGTCACATTAAACATTGCCCCTCCCCGACAACTATAGGACATCCACTGGAATTGAATAAGAATGAATTCATTGATATTCATTGATCCAACAAATCCAACAAATCCAACAAACCCAACAAAAAAAAAAAATCAAAAAAGACTATCCCAGTTCAAATTATCTTTTCTCCAAGCTACTCACTTGTTGACATTCATCAAACCCTTCGACCAAAGCATCCATTTCCTCCTGTGTGCCAGCCCTTAATCAAACCCTCTGCCCAACGGCTCCTGGTTTCTGTTCTCCGGAAACGATTGGGGAATTGATAAGATCGCTGACTCAACATAGTTGTTATCTAAATTTTATCGCAGTTTATCGCATCCCTTTAGCCTTCTTCATTCCCCTCACCACAACATTTCCCCCATTCAGTTCAACGTCTCGTTTACATTGCATAAATGATCTCAATTTTGATCCACCATCAATGTCCACTGTCACATTTCTGCAAAATTGAATTGAAAACTTAAAAGTTAAACCATTTTTACCGTAGCTTTGCGCATTCATTGGCTCGCTTTTCTTACGCTTTTCGATCTCGAAAGAAAAAACATTACTCAAAAGAACGATAGTTGCTCTTTTGAAGAGATGAATGGTGGTAAAAATTATGAAAGACTTTAGAAGTAAAGCAATTTGTCCCAGAATAACCTTTTGGACAATCGCAGAGTGTACTCTGTTAACGAGATCTGCGAGCATTCTACACCGTTTGCGCATGGGTTTGACAAGCAACTGAGGGTTAGTGTTTATTCTCTTTCTTTCTTTCTCTTCTCTCTTAGATTTCCGTTTCTTTTCTGGCAAAAGGATGGTGAATGGCTCAGTGGTTGAGGCTTTGTAGGAGGCTTTTTTGGAGGCCAGGCTTGGGCTTAGGCTTAGGCTTGAAAGCCCAGGCTTTGGCTTTGGCTTTGGCTTGGGTTTTTTTTTTTTTTTTTTTTTTTTTTTATATTTTTTTTTTTTTTTTTTTTGTGTGTGGGGGCTTTGGCTTGAGCTCAGGCTTAGGCTTGGGGCTTGGGCTTTGGCTTGGAAGCTTTGGCTTGGGCTTTGGCTTAGGCTAAGCCTGGCAATTACCTGGAAGAGAAGGAAAGCCTCGTTCAGTCCCCCATTCAGAAATCTTTCTTTTAAGGAATGTCCTTGAAAACTTGAAAACAACACTTTTAGAATTGCCATTAGGTGTCCGGTGTCCAGAAGGTTAAAGTTTAAAACAGAATTGAGAAATAATTGGATTGTATATCCAAAGGATTCTCACCGATCAATCATTGCACACTTGTCATCCCGGCCACTTTTCCCTCAGTTCTCACCGTCGCGAAATCAAGAATCATCGGGTGGTAACAACCCGGTAAGCGATCACCAGTGAGGAAGAGATGGACGGAATTCGACGCACCTGAAAATGTTTTGCCACTGATCTAAAGGATAGAAGATGAAGATCAAGATATAACAATCTTTGCTCACCTCCCATCCCTCCAACCACGGTGCAATTGAAACCATCGATATCCACCTCGAGTCTTGACCCTCGAATTCTCAGCGATAAACCATGCCAACCACCATCGGCCGCAGAAATCGCTAAAAAAGGAATAGAGATAGAGGGATTGAGAGATTTTCCCCTAAGCACAGAAGGATGTGAGATCTGTTTGAACTTGGTGAAGTTCGAGATCAGCAGCAAAATTTTCCCGTCTTCCAGGTTATCTAAGGAAATGGATTAGATTGATCATTGATCTAATTGATTATTGTTCTAGTCCATTATTGATCTAATCGACTATTGATCTAGTCGATTATTGATCTAATCGACTATTGATCCTAATCGATCATTGCTCTAATCGATTGACCAGTCTAGTCGACATTGATATAGTCGACTATTGATCTAATCGTTAATGATCTATCCATCATTGATTAATCGACTATTGATCTGTAGTCGTTATTGATCTAGTCGACTATTAGTCTAATCGATCTATTGATCTCACCAAACAGAGAGCAAAGTTCCATTCTTTGTCCCGGGTAGATGTCGAACAATTGATGGGATGGGAGAGTTCGGAATTCGAAAAAGAATGGGAGAAATGAGAAAGGGGAACAAGCAGTCACCTGGTGGAAGAGATTCTTTGGAGGACGAAACCATCTAAAAAATTTTGTGAGAGTGAAAAAAGACCCATATTTTTCCTGTAATCCCACCTGTTACGGTGCGTCGAAATCCGGATGGGCCACGTGCGCCAGTAAATCCACTCCATTCAACATTCATTCTTGCCAAACATCCGTGAAACGAGGACTCGACATTAGGTGAGAAATTCGTCTGGCAGTCAATAGGCTATTGCACCTGGAGGATTTCATTATCCTTGTCAAGTCAGAAAAAAGCTTTGCATCAGTGGCAAAGACCTGGTGCTTCAGACTGAGCTTGCAGGTCTGATTGATCTGATTAGTCTGAGCTTTTTCTCTCACACCTGTGAATGCAAATCGAGTTTTTCTGTAGAGTCCAGTTGGAGTGGTTTGATTTTGAAGGACTCCATCGATACTAGAAATTCGTTTATATCAGTTGTTGTTGTTGTTGTTGACAAATGTTGTCAACTGCAGTCAAACCTCAATTGAACAGAGTCAAACTGATGTACCCATCTCATCTCATGCCATTCCCCATCGTCAAGCGCTCGACCACCCGAGATTTTCGATGGTGATAGAGAACCTAATGTTTTTTATAAGATTTCTTAATTTTAAATGATAATGCCATTCAAAAATTTGGCTAAACGAAGTTGAATTCAACGATAAAAACAAACCAAAATCAAGAATCCCTTGAATGGTTCATGAATAATTTGGGCAATTTATAAGGACATCTCCATGATCGGATGAGAAAAGAAAAAGAGACCCGAGCGAAAAGTTCTAAGGAAAATAATGATTGATGATTGATTAGTCAATGATCGACTAGATCAATGATTGATTAGATCAATGATTGATTAGAATCAACAATCGACTGGATCAATAATCGACTGGATCAATAATCAGTGATTAGATCAATAATCTGATTAGATCAATAATCGATTAGATCAATGATCGATTAGATTTTTAATAGTTCCTTAAATAATTTAAACTATTTGCTTTTATCTCCCCGATCGGATCGACAAAAGAAAAAGAGACTCGAACGAAAAGTTCTAAAGCTAACATCATTCAAATAAACAAAAAAATCAAACGATCGTTTGTATTCCAGGATTTTTCCCAAAAGACAGTTTCTCAAAGTCAAGAGTCTGACTCTTTGTCTGATATCAGTCCAGAAAAGTCCAGAAAAGTCTTTGGGTTCAAAAGCCAGACTTGAACCTGGTCTGAAGTCTAGTCCCCCAACCTTATTGACCCTAGACTGACCCTGACAAAGCTAGCTGGATATATTGACTCTGAATAAGCTAGTAAAAATATTGACCCTGACAAGCTAACATTTTCTATCACTTTAGTACAAATTTCCCCTAAAAACTAACCGAAACTGTACAGTGAGCTCATTTTCGTACATTGCAACTAGGGCTTCTTTTCCGAGACATCCCACCGAGAATGGAGAATCCGAAAGAGATAACATTCGAGAATCTAAACTTTTGCCCTTTTTCTGTCAATCAAGATCTATCTATCAATATTCTTTTATCAATGTAACACGCCAAAACCTACCGTAAATCTCAAACAGTCATTACAAGAACTGGCTGATGCTTTTTGTTGTCTTTATAGACGGAAATGATTCGAACCAGGTTCAGGAAGTCGATATCTCGCCAAGATGGAATGTTGGGAGTGATGAGTCGAGGACCTAGAAAAATCTCTTCAACCAGTTTTCATTAAAGATCTTTCAAATTTATGATAAAATTTATGACAATCCCACCAATTTAAAATGTCGAAACCAATTAGAATCGACTTTTTATCTCCTTTTCATCACCAAAAGAATGATTAAAGAAAAACTGGTTAAAAACTAGTTTAACTACAGAGAAAAAAACTGGTTTGGCTACAGAAAAACTCGTTTTAACTACTTATTCAACGAATACAATAAGTTTTAAAGGGTTTATTGAAAAATTTACCATATTTTCCCGGTTGACGTCTGCACATTTCCGTAGTGGGTGCATGCCCATCCAAGTCTGCACGTAGAAAGCCGAGATTTGACCCAGTACTGACTGAAATTTGTTTTAAAGAAATACCTGAGGTGATATGTTAAATGTAAATTAGTGTTTACATATAAATCACAAGGGTATCTGACCTCCCCAAGTGGTCTACCTCAGGTGAGACACAGCCTACCAGTAAAAACACTAGCTTAGAAATGATTACCAGTACAACTTTTTGAACAACACGAGCTTTTTGATTAGTATTTTGTCTAAAAAGTAGAAGAAGTACTTTTGATTCAATCCAAAAAACATTTCAAACATTGAATTTGAATTTGGAAACTGTTGAAAACATTTCAAACATCGTTTAATCTGTTAAATCATTGTGACACTTTCGTAGATCATTCCACAGTCTAATAAGTTCAAAGAAATCTAAAACCTTTAAAAAAGTCTAATGAGGAATAAGAAGAAGTACTTTTTATCCAAAGAAAGACATTTCAAACATTGAATTTGAATTTGAAAACATTTTAGCTTGTTTGGCTGTTGAAAACGTTTGAAACATTTGAAAACATTTGAAAACATTTGAAAAAGATTTCAAACCTTTCAAATTCAAATTCAAACATTTTAAACCTTCAAAACCTTTCAAATTCAAAATTCAAGCATTTGAACCTTTCAAATGTTTCAAATTCAATCAAAAACATTTCAAACCTTTCAAATTCAAACCTTCCAACCTTTCAAACCTTTCAAACATTTCAAACCTTTCAAATTCAAATTCAAATCTTTCCAAACCTTTCAAATGTTTTCAAATTCAATCCAAAAACATTTCAAACCTTTCAAATTCAAATTCAAACATTTGAAAATCCTCACCTATCCTCTCGTGATTCTTTTCAATTGTGGAAAGACAGTCTCTGTGTCGGAATAAAGACATCCGACATTCTGATGAGACTAAAAATTCAAAAATTGATATTAATTTCTATTTTATTGATTCTATTTAGATAATTTAGATAGTTTAAATAATTATTCAAATATTTCTTTTTTCGAATCATTTTAGCCCAGAGAAAGATGAGTGATTTTCGATGGAAACTCTCGAGATTTGAGAAAAACGCCCCCAAGATGAAAGGAGAATTCGAAATTTAAGTACTGGTCATACGGGCATTCACCAAGTGAAAAAGAACATGGCTGAGCTAAGATCACAATTATAAGCTGAAATATCTTATAAGTACCAAATAATCGTGAATAATGCTTTCATTCAAATACAGCTGAAATCAAAAAAAAAATCAAAAAGGCTCCTATTGAGCTGGCTCGACATACAGATAGGACTGGCTAACGATTGTTTAACCGTAACAAAAAAAAAAAAAAAAAAAAAAAAATCAAGAACAGTTATCCCTCTCCCCCCCAGTTTTAAGGTTATCTAGTCCGAAGCTGGGCTAAGGTTATCTAGTTCGAAGCTGGGCTAAGGTTATCTAGTCCCCAGCTGGGCCAAGGTTATCTCTGATCTGAGCTGGGCTAAAGTTTATCTAGTCGAAGCTGGAGCTAAGGTTGCTAGTTCAGAAGCTGCTGGGCTAGGTTATCTGATCTGAAGCTGGGCTAAGGTTATCTGGTCAGCTGGCTAAGGTTATCTAGTTCGAAGCTGGAGCTGGGTTATCTAGTTCAGAAGCTGGGCTGGGGTTATCTAGTCTGAAGCTGGGCTAAGGTTATCTAGTCCGAAGCTGGGCTAAGGTTCTGTATTTAGTTCCGAAGCTGGGCTGGGGTTATCACAAGTCTGAAGCTGGGTTAAGGTTTATCTAGTCCGAAGCTGGGCTAAGGTTATCTAGTCCGAAGCTGGGCTAAGGTTATCTAGTCCAAACCTTTGTTTAGATCTTAACTCTTAAACGTTCCTGTGGTAAACACAACTCTGCTAACTGCAAATTTTAGCTTAAAAGTGCTGTAATGTCTTGTCAACTTCCACAGTATTCAGTATTTCATCCTGTACTTTCTCAGAAATTTAGCTTAAACCTTACTCTAATGGCTTTTTAACAAAATTTTTACAGAGCTTATAGGGATTGCAAATCAAGTTAGCTTCTCCATAAAGGGATTTCCCTCTTCCTTCTTTCTTTCTTGCTGCCTTTCTTTCTTCTTTTCTTTCTTTCTTCTTTCTTCTTCTTTCTTCTTCTTCTTCTTCCCCCTTGTCTTCCTCTTCTTCTTTCTCCATGCAGACAGTTATGGTACCGGAATAGCTCAATGATTGAAGTTACAAAATCCCTCGTAAGCAAAAGGTCGATGGTTGAATCCCCTCTCCGGAAATCTACTTTCTTGCCAATTCCTTCACTTCTTTTTCATGCTAATTTCAGCTTTCATCAAAAAAATAGACAAATCCCATCAGCTTTCTTTGTTTCTTTCTTTTCTTTTCCTTTTCTTGTCCCTTGGGAGAAATTTGTGTGAGACCAAAATGGGGTAAAATGGCCCCCGGGAGTGTCCCCGATTTCCCCTTTTTCCCCCAAATTTCTCCTTTTTCTTAGGGGTGAATCATTGAGTTGGAAGAAAAAAGAAGGGAAAAGGATGTTTTCTTTACGTATACAAACTCTAGTACTCAAGTAAAAAGAACCCGCATAAAACCTCGAGCTGAAAATGCAATCAGTTTAACTAGTTCAAAATCTCAAGAAAATCAGATCGCATTGTTCCGGCTGTGAAGGAGGAAAACAAATTATGGCCAAATTTTTGAGAGAATTTTAGTTCAACTTTCGCTGGAGTTTTTATACAAATGCCACATCAAGGAAATCACTCAAACAGTAGCCAAAATCAGAGAACAATGCGATGTAGCTTGTGCATTCTGTTTCCTGAATTTCCCCAAGGATTGTTCAGTCCAATAAAGCTCTATTTGATTTCATTTGAAAGCCTTTATCTTCTAGAAATCATATAAATAGTCAAGATGATCTCTGAAGAAAGTGATGCACATTTAAACTCATTTCTGACATTCTAGAGCTTTCAAATTGTACGAGTAGTATCAAAATCGCTTCCAAAAGTCATCCTTTAGCTAAAAAGCATTGAAATTTGATCTATCATAAAGATTCAGAGGTTTTTAAGATTTGTATTTCCTTTTCCAATCTCCTTTTCCGATTTTTGTTTTCTTTTACAATCTTTTCCGACTTTTGTTTCCTTTTCCAATCCTTTTCCAATCCTTTTCCAATCCTTTTCCGTTTCCTTTTCCGATTTTTGTTTCCTTTTTCTTCTATCCAAGTGTCATAATATTAAAAGAAATAACTAAAAAAAAAAAAGCCATCTGCTCCTCACATTTTGCTAATTACACCTAGCAAAAAATCTCACCTAATCTAGAGATGAGAATCTACAAAATTTTTCCATAATAATCAATTTTGCATATATGGAAATCTAGTACTAGTGAGTCAATCTAGTACTCAGTAATCTAAGAATCCTCCTTGGAACGGTGGCGATATTGTGAAAATGTTTTGGCTTCGCGCGAAGAATAATATAAACATTTACTCATTTATGTGGGTGATTAATGTTTGGAAAGGTGTGGGCGAAAGGTTTACAAGGTATCAAACCTTTCGTTTAATCAAACAAACGTTGAGAAAAGCTAAAAAGAAGTTTGCCGTAAGTTTTGACAATTTACATCTTTTCGATCGAATGAAATGAACAATCAAATGTTCATTTTATTAGTCTGGCAATAAATATTCAATGTTAAACTCGCGACACCTCAGGCATCGCGAACAAGGATTCCATTTCATTTGCCCGTTTTCAACTCTTCAACTCTTTTACGAATCTAATCTAATCTAGTTCGATTTTGTAGAAATTTTCGTACCATAATCCTTACCCATTTTTGGATGAAATGTTTTAGGAAAGGTGTGGGCGAAAGGTTTGCAAGGTATCAAACCTTTCGTTTATTCAAACAAACGTTTAGAAAGCTAAAAGAAGTTTGCCGTAGTTTTGACAATTTACATCTTTTCGAATCAAATGTTTATTACAGTAGATCTCGCTAAGAAATATTCAGTTAAACTCGCGACACTTGCTCGTAAAGCTTGTAAACCTGGCGCTTGTAAAACTAACAAACCAGGTTTGCAAGGTTTGATACGTTGAGAAAAGCTAAAAAGAAGTTTGCCGTAAGTTTTGACACTTTATATCTTTTCGATCGAATAAAATGAACAATCAAATGTTCAGCTTATTATCCTCTAATAAAAATCGAGGTTAAACTCGCGACATGACCAGGCATCGCGACAAAAATTTCATTCATTGCCTGTTCTCAACTCTTCTTTTACGAATTTAATCTAGTCGATTTTGTAGAAATTTCGTACCATAATCCAGTTTCTTTGAACTTTGATCAATAAAAAGCTTTAAATAGCCAATTGTTTTAAGCCATTCAATGGTTTAATTACCGGAGTCCAGAGCTCTAGAACAAGCCCTATCCTCAGATACAATCCTCAGATACTTTACAAAGATAGGCCATAAATTTGCAGATATGCAAAGTATTTATGAGTTGGTTTTGATTGGTTTGTTTGGTTTCATTTATTGTATGTATTGACTTATTTGATTGGAAAAACTTGATCTTTAAGATTTCCTCTTTGGGCCATTAATGGATCAAAATCAGCTGATTTCAAAATGAAACTCAATTAAAACCAATTAAAACCAATTAAAACCAAAATTCACTAAATCCAAATGTTTATTCAATAAAAACCTTCTAATCTATTGAATTTGTTGTCCCAAAAGCGTTATCATCAAAATCTTTTCCTTCTTAAGTTTCCGTTTTAAATGCCAAAGTGCTAATAGTGGCTCAGAAATGTTGTTGTTGACCCGTTTGGAATTGGTTTTAGGGGAAAAAGGAAAAAGAGTGTATAATCAATTTTTCTTCTCCTCACTACCACAATTCATCACTTTTATTGAAAAGTTCAAACCACAAAGCTTCAATGTACAAAGAAGAATGAAAGATCAATTGAGATTTAAAAGAATTCGATAACTAAACCGAAATTCTGTTTAATAGAGTGTTTTCCCCTGTGATGCGTTTTTTTAAACGCCAATGGTGGAAAAATTTGCTGAATTTGCTTTCGTTGGATAGAACAATTCGATTTCGAGTCGAATCAAAAGCAAAGAAACGAGCTAAATACATAGGAGATTGCCAACGGCAAACCGACCAAAAAGCAAGCGAAGCTTAACATGGCTGCAACTACTTTAAATTGTGTAGGTTTTCGACTTATAAACTTTTGACTACGATTTCGACTACAAACTTCGACTGTTCTTTGCGGATGATGTAAACGAATCCCATTGGTGCAATGAATTTTTACCTCGAGCAACAAGTTGAGTTGTAAAAATGAAGTTTCAACGGTGCAGAAGGAAACGTTTACGTCTTCGAGCTCAAAGTACACAGAAATTCATGATTTTCGTAAGAAATGAACCAGGCATTCGTCTAAAATTCCCTAATTCTCCATTTTCGAATCTAAATTTCAGAGCGCTGAAAAAAAGCGGACAAAGGCAAACTATGAATCTTTCACTCACTTCACAGCCACCCGAGGAAAAAGGATTCGAAATTGAAATAACAAATTCAGATCTTTTTTTCTGAGATTTTGACTTTCTTAGCTTTTCTAGAAGAACTCCTCGGGGATTTAGTGAGGCGGAAAAATATCGGAACGAGAGGGAGAAAGAATGGCTATTGTTGGCTGATGTTGGCTGGTGTTGGCTGATGTTGTTTGGAATGGGTACCCCTCGATTTTGCCTCTTTTTTTAAAGTCTTTTCTTTCTAAATCTGAAATCAAAGATGTCATGATAAATATAGCGGAAAAGTGTCTTTGTGAATCTTTTTGAGATAGCCTGTATAGTTGTCCGATTTAGATTTTCGTCCGACAAGTTCGAACTTATCGCGGACGTCCGATTTAGATCCACAGTCTATATCGGACGTCCGATTTTCTAAATCGAAATCTAAATCAACAACAACATAAGTGCTGG